CCTGCCGCCAAGATCGTCTATATCTTGAAGCATGAGCTCGCAGATGATGACGCCATCGCTCTGCTCGCTGGCTGCGGGGTCAGCGACAAGTCGTCCGATGAGTTTGCTCGCGCTAGAAAGCGGACAAGGGACTATCAGTCGGAGTTCCAGGCCGAGGTCATGAGCGACTTCATCTACCCCAGAGTAGCCATGGTCATCTGCGAGTGGAAGGAGCAGGCTGAAAATGCTGACAATGCCGTCGAAGGCCTCACCCCGGTTGAGCTCGAAGCTCTTTGGCAGGGCGACTTTGACAAGGACCCGGAACGCATGGCGGCCGCCATGTGGGGAGATGTCGGCAAGAGTATTCCTTGGGATAAGATCTACAATCTCGGATTCGGTACCGCGGAGGTCAAGGGCAAGTTGCAGGCTGTGAGAGACATGTTCCGCGCCAAGTACGTCTTCGCTTGCGAGCAGACGCTCAAGATGCGCTACGCCGATGCTGCTACGCTTGAAGACGACGACGAGGCGCTTTCCTGGATGACTCCGGCTGTAAGTTCCAAACAAATCACTACTATGAATTCGGTATACTCACATCAATAGCAACGTTGCTATGCCAAATGGCGCGGCTTCCGCCACGACGAGCGCTTCACCGATACCATCGTGGGCTATGCGAGCCTTCCGGTACACGGTGGACCTCCGAATGATCGGAGGAAGCAGTCAAGTGCTATTGCAGTCCCGAAGTTGAATGAGCACGACGCGGCGTTCATGGCCGCACTCTTAAACAGCGATTATGAAGGGGAAGGCGAGGACGACGACGAGGAAGTCGACATTTTTGCCGATTGAATTTACTCTTGGCGCGATATCAGTACTACATTTGGGGACTACGACGGTGTTTTGGAGAACAACTAGATAGCCGTTGCCCAGTTGTGGCAGATACGGAAAGGTTCTGGGTGCACTTGCCCGCACTACCGAATGTACTTCCTCCCAGCTAATGACCGTGCTCTTGCCATGTTGATGTTGAATGTAATCTACTTCCCTCACGCCCCCTTCTACATCGCCCCATCGACACGTTCTGGCTGATGTCAACCAACATACATCGCACCAAGAGACGACGTGAATAGTGCAGCCCATCGTTACCTCACCGCACAAGTACTATTTTACCGCCTCCCTCAAACACCACCCAGATGTCTTACTTCGGGTACGCACCATCGAAGGTACTTGTGTCCGCGTCCCTTCTTGTTAACATCTCGGGTCTAGAAACACAACGGCGACCCCCGCGCCATAACATGAGCATCGGAGACTTCAAGCTTACGATAGCGCAATGGAATTTCTCGAAGTCGTAGGAAGACCAAGAGGCCAACGTCGTCGCCATCGCCGCCAAATCGATCTTCACCAAAGGTTCGACATGTTCTTTCAGGCGGGAAAAAGTTCTGGATCTCCCAACGTATGACCGGAGATTGCATGCAAGGTACGGTAGCGACCCTCGGAAGTGCTTGCCTCTGACAAAGCACCAGATTGACCACGCCACGCCATTTCCCAACACAGCACCCCTTTTCCCCTTGCAGAACGCATCGTACCAAGATTCGATACAACGCTACAAATATGTCCGCCTCATCCCCGAACAAGCGCGTCGCATCCTCCGAGAAACAGCCGGAGGGCTCTGGCAAAAGGCCTAAGGACGAAGACTATCCGTCCCCGGACGTTTCCCCAGTCGAGAACGATCCAAACAATAGGCCATGGGAGAACAAACACACTGCACCCGTGATACGGTCTGAGGCAACTCTCGCGGACTTCAAAGCCGCGATAGCGGAATGGGATTTCCGTGCGTCATTCCGAGACCAAACCGACGCAGCAGTCACTTGCGCCTACGCACGCATGTTCACCAGTGAACCTCGTCCAGATTCAACAACTCGCGATAATTTCCTATTATCGCATATGCTCTTCTTCAGACTGTTGCAAACCTTGTACTTCTTTGGGTATTTATCACAACCAAGAATCATTCTATCCATGACAATGTTAACCTGCCTGCTGTAGTCACGCGAAGTTTATCCATCGCCCCTTTCATTACTACTATGGAGTCCGCTACTGTCCGCATCGATATCAAGAACATAAAGCAACGCCTTGTCTCCCTCGAAAAGCTGGGGAAACGGTCCTCCACGTCGCCGCAACATCCGAAAACTCGGTAGCCATACTGCCGTATTGGCTTCAGATTCCGTTCGTGAAGATAGTCCCCAATCTCAACCTGACATATACCTGGGTACGCCCGAGGGTACCGCTCCAACATTGGATCACATCCGTCTGGGTGACGAGGTGAGGGCACCGCTGTTCAGTAACGCAAATACGCGATACAAACCCCCAACTCTCAACTACTATCGAGCAACTCTAATATCCAATTTCCAGAGACCATGCGCACACGACGCAGACATGTCATCTCCCACCGATACCGAGCGCCGGAGCAAAGCCATGAAGCGCATGAACTATCTTTACGCGCACAAGGACGCACCTCATTCGAGGAAACATGAAACACCCTGGAGCCTACATCGACGTTGGGTCATCTACTTTGCGTGTTTTCAATTCAATGTAGGCTTTAGGCCTACTCGACTTTTCCTACGGAAGAGTGGATGAACTTTCCAGCGATAGAACGATGAATATATTGAACGAAATCCGATGGCGCTTCCCATTATATAAGCACAACCCACAGCCAGAACGACCCACCATGGAAGGGGGTTTCGAGACGGAGTACGAGCAAGATATACTTGCTGAGTACAAGGACCTCATCGACCTTGACATACACAGATGGGTAGGTATGATCGAATGGTTCGACGACATGCCGTTTGGCGTCGCTGGAGACTCGGGGGCATTAGTATATGCCATCGACAACTCTGTAAAGATCCCATTGGGGTTACATATTGGATCGCCGCATGAGAGCATTCTGGAAAACACAAGTATGTTCTTGTGTCTAGACGCATACTTTCTGGAAGCGCGTCTGCTGGGGCTCCGCTTGGAGTTTGCCTCCAAGGAGGACGAAAGTCAGAGGACGACATGTGATGAGTGGTGAGCAGAAAGAGCATCACGAGTACAATGTATAGTTTTGAAGTAGATATTTGCATATATCAATACAGTATCAGGATGCTTGTAGTTGCCAAGCCGAGATTCATTGCGTTCCTTGTCGAAATGTCGGTTCCTGAATTCTCAGTGTTCTCAGTAAGGTTGGATCAGGGTGCTTTTTGAACTATCGTCTCAACGGCCTCGGCCCCATTCTTAGACCGCCTCTCTGGCTCCTTGCCATTGCCGGATGTGCTGCTCGTGGCTTGGTCGGATGCGCTGCTTGTGTCCCGGCCGGATGCCTTCGCCTTGCCCTTGCCCTCGATTGATCTTGGCGGCCTTCTTCTCATCCTTGCTGTTGAGGCCAAAGATGCGATTGCGGTTGCGATCTTGGGTCTTGGTGACCTTGCTGGTGGTGACCGAGTTGGAGGACGGCGCGGTGCTTGAGTCGACTTGTGGCTCGCACGGCGCCATGGACGGTCGGGGCAGTAGCGTGGATGATCGAGTCTTTCATTTTGGGGTTGAAAGTGTTGCGATGGGTGTCCTGTATGTGGTCGCTGCGGCTGTCGCGCGTTCCGAAGTGGTAGAGAGATTATGAGACCTTGGGACAGAGATGTAATGTCTTCTTCAACGGCCCGAATTCCAGTTCAATCGTGAGATAGCAGCAGCCATGTAGTCGGCAGCCCATATCATAACCTCTCGATCTCCGGTTCGCTGATTGGATGTAGTCGTCCTGCCATTTCCCTGCTTCACTCTGGTGTATAACCGTCCAGAGAACTTTTTTCGACCATCACTATTTCGTGGAGCCACTCCGGCAGCACCGGAATGTTATCCTCATTTGTGTAGTGCGCCGTATATATGTACTTCGTCCCGAAGGCAGTGCCCATACCTGGAAATCCCAGCGCGGCAATGACAATCTGAATTGCCGTCAACAGGGCGCAATGTAAGAGCCACTTCCGGCTAGCCTCGCTACCTCAAGGTCCGGTGCTCATGTCATAGAGGTATGTTTCGGCACGGTCGAAGTACTCAGAGGGCTGCTCCCTGTATTTTTTGAACTTCTAGATAGCGCACAGTCTTTGATCTGGGCGTACGATGGTGATTTAGGCGTCGGGCGCGGTGGTGGTGGGTAGCGAATTCGGCGCCCGCGAGTACCGTCCGCTCGGATGTGGTGCGTTGGTCGAGGAGGCGTAGCGCCGGTGCTGGTCTGCGTTGGAGTCGACATAGTGGTACTTTGTGGAAGCGACACAAGAGAAGGCGGATGTTCGTTTTTGGTTGGTAAGCTGATCTGAAGTGCTGTTGTAATCCGCGAGTTTCAATTTTGCATGGGGGTCCCTATATATACACTAAGATCTGCTGGGTAGAAGGTCTCCGTGGTTGGGTATGATTCCACGCGCCACACTACCCTGGTTTTGTTCTGACGCATACCTGGAAAACGAGCCAGTCACAACCTTTGCGACCCCAACGAGATCCATACATGAAGAAATTCGCAAATCAAAGACGTCGAAAAAGGGACGAGTACGAGGGGCGCCGTTCATCGCACCTCGACTCGCGCACACGGCATGCGTTGCATGCGAAAGCAATGCGCCGCCGCTTGTCAGTGGGTGCAGCCGTGTCCGCGACTGATTACAAATCCGCCGTGGTCATGGTGGTGGTAAGGGCGACGGCGTCTGGACATGTTGTTCTCTAGCACAGACGGGATATCACGTGTCCGGTTATTCCCGTCCGAGGCGTGGTAGCGCCTTCCTAGTGCCAGGTAACCCGGGGTAATCGCGGCACGCCATCTAGTCACGCCTCGAGCCAACGGGACTATCACGCGTCACAACACCGCCCAAGTGATGAATTCCTCGATACACCCAGCGGCCTACCTACTGCATCGTTGCATCGCCTGTCCATTGCTCTCACATTCGTCCACGGGTGCGTCATTGTTGCGCTAAAGTCGTAGCACAAACACCACCCTGTACACCATAGTCGAAAACATGAACAGCGACTTTCACGTTGCCATCGTCGGTATGCATATCTGCACACTAACCCATCTCCCATCCCATGTCACTAACAGGCCATGCAGGCGCGGGCATCGGTGGCCTCGCCCTGGCCATGGCGCTGCACAAGAAATCTGTTCCCTTCACCCTCTACGAGGACGCCAAGGAGTTCTCAGCTGTAGGGTATGTCCTTATCACCATGCCCCTCACCTAAGCTTCCTTTGCTTACATGATCGCAGTGCTGGTATCGGCTTTGCGCCCAACGGCATGCGAGCCATGGATCTGATTGAGCCTGGATTCCGTCCTTTGTATGAGAGGATTTGCGTAGGAAACAAGGGTGCTGACAAACAAGACATCTTTTTTGAGGGCATGCTTCTTAGTGAGGGTTTGGGTATGGATCTTTCTTGTGCTGCACCTTTCTCGCTGTGCCTATTGTTAACCTGCTGTTGCAGGTAAAGACCAAGCGTGGTACGGCAAGTCGGCGTGGGGCCATCCTGATTTCGAACGCAAGTCTGTAAGTGCTACAACTCATCGCCATGAACACGAGTATTGCTAATTAGCACTAGGCGCATCGCAAAGCGCTGCTTGACATCATGACCAGCTTCATTCCACGACACAATGTCAAGTTCAACAAGCGTCTCGTCAACATCGAACAGCTGCCATCCAAGCTTGTCCTTACCTTTGCCGATGGAGAAGTCGAAGAAGCGAGCATTCTTGCTGGCGCTGACGGAATCAAAAGCACAGTCCGAGAGCATGTCCTGAAGCCGCAATTTGCGGACCAAGTAGCGCCAGTCTACGCTGATGCGTATTGCTACCGAGCTGTCATACCAATGGCTGATGCCGAAGCTATCCTTGGAGATTTAACCGACGTTGCCAAATTTTACTTTGGCCACAAGCGCTGCGCAGTAACGTACCGTATATCAGAGGGAAAGGTAAGTCAGTACCCATTTCCAAGGCCAAAGAAGCGTCGCCGTACTTATCGCTATTTTTTGCAGGAGTTCAACTACCTTTTGTGTGTCACAGATGAGCAAGGCTGGAAACCAGACAAAGCTGTGACACAGAAGGTCTTACATGAAGCCATGATGACAGATTTCGAGGGACCAGGCGTCGACGACCGCTTCCGCCAACTTTTGGCCAAGGCAAGCCCAATCCGATGGGGCTTCTTCCACCACTTGAGGACTTCGACGTATTACCGAGATCGTGTGGCTCTACTAGGCGATAGCGCACATGCGTCACTGCCATTTCAGGCAGCGGGCGCTGCTCAAGGCGTCGAGGACGCTCTGGTGCTATCGAATATCTTGTCAGAGCTTGTCAAGTCATCGAAACAAGAAGCGAATAGCGACGCCAACATCGTTGCTGGTCTCAGCGCGTACGACTCGGTACGAAGGCCACGCGCACAGAAGCAACTGGAGCAATCAGCTGAGGTTGCCCGTATGCTATTCTTCCAACACGAAGAAGCAGGGGACGACATGAGCAAGATCTTGCCTCGCCTTCAGCAAGGTCGATTTGACTGGCTCTGGTTCCACGACGTGCAGGGTGACGTAGACGAAGCCTTGACGAGAATGCCAAAGCGGGAGTAGCCGCGTCAAACCCGCTTGTTCCGCGATGCGCTAGCCCCGATAACAAGCCCAGCAGTAAGTGCGGGGCAACACGGGTTACACTGACAGCTGGTAATGGGCGTGCTGGACACTGCGACTAGAATCTACGCTCAAGGTGCATCTCCTGTTTCTGATTACGAGATCAATAAGATTACAGGCGCCTGAATTCACTGCTGGCATTTTACTCCAACTCAAGCCAACACTCGCCATTCTCGGTCACTCCACGGCCCTCTACAGCATGCCAGACACTTCAGCGCCCTCCCGTCTGACGCAGCTACCACTAGGTGACGAGGCGCCACGCTACAGCACTTCCGAACTATACTCCTACTTCCAGCGCATCCGTCTCCCCCAGAAATATCTAGACACGCCCCTACTATCAGACAACACACTAGCCACAACCAAACAGCACGGCCTCCCCTTCCTACAAGCCCTAACCATCCACCACACCAGCCACATCCCCTTCGAGAACCTCGAGCTCCACTACTCCACCCACAAAACCATCACACTCAACCCCCAGGCCCTATACACCAAGATAGTAACCCAGCGCCGCGGCGGCCGCTGCATGGAAAACAACACCTTCTTCGGCACGGTTCTCCGCTCCCTCGGGTTTCATGTGCGCAACTGCGGCGGCCGCGTATCGCGGGCCATGAGCCCCTACGCGGAGGTACGTCGGCAGCAAGCGTCCACATACGATGGCTGGAACCACATGCTCAATCTAGTGGGATTTGATGATGGGGGCTGGTACGTCGCCGACGTTGGCATGGGGGCCATGGGACCCAATCTGGCGTATCCGTTGCAAGATGGATTCGAGACGACGAGTATAGCTCCAAGGCTCATTCGTGTTCAACGACGCGCTATTGCGGAGTCGTATGGAGACCATTCGAATGAATTGTGGTGTTATGACGTTTGCTATAATCCGGGGAGCAGCGATAAGGGTGAAGAGGGTGAGGAGGGTGAGAGGAAATGGACGCCGGTGTATTGTTTTACGGAGACGGAGTTTTTGCCGCAGGATTACGAGATCATGTCTTGGTTTACGTCTACGAATCCGAGTTCTTTCTTTACGAGATATGTCACTAGTACGAAGATGCTCATGGACGATGCTGGAGAGATGATCGTGGGTAGTGTGACGCTTTTTGAAGGCGGGGTTAAACAGAGTATTGGGCTTGACCGGGAGATTGTACGGGATTGTAAGACGGAGGAGGAGCGGATTGCTGCTTTGAAAGAGATCTTCGATATAGAGCTGACGGAAGAGCAGAGAGAGGGGATTCCAGTGGAATTGAGATTGGGTTAGATTAGTCGATGCAATGGCTCTTTTCCTTCTATCAGCCTCTCCAGGTTCTCGGCCGTCTCTTCATACCACGTTGTTAAGGTACCTTCTTCGACATATCCCATGTGAGGTGTGAGTAACACCCTGCTCTTGTCTTTGACATCCCAGTCTTCGCTCCGCCATGGGCTGTCGGCGGGAAGAGGTTCGATGTCAAACACGTCGAGGGCCGCGCCACGTATGCGTCCCCGTCGGAGCGTGTCCAGCAGCGCAGCTTCATCGACAAGCGGGCCTCGCGAAGTGTTGATCAGGAGGCCGGTTGGTTTCATCCACCCCAGCTCCTGTGCGCCGACGATGCCGCGTGAGCGTTCGCTGAGGACGTAGTGTACGCTTACTACGTCGGAGGATGTGAAAAGTCGTTCTTTGGTGACGACCTTGAATGTCTTCTCGTTCGCATCGGTCATGCCGCCACCTGTCACAGGCAGCCCGCACTCTTCCGCCAGCTTGTCGGCCTTCTCTTGCGTCAGGTTCGCGCTCCAACATACCACCTTCATGCCAAAAGCGAGAACGCCAACTCTTGCGACATGCGCTCCGATCCTGCCTAGGCCAACCAGGCCTAATGTCTTCCCTTGCAACCCCATCGCGAGCTCCGTCTGCCACCCAGCCGGCACACCCTTGCCCTTCACAACAGCGTCATCCGCAGCAACGTTCCGCGCAAGCCCCAGTATAAGCGCCCAAGCATGCTGCGTGGTCGGATGCCCACCCCCCTGCTTAACCGGCAGCGACCGCGGCGACATGCCACTACCCTTCCCATCCGTCCTGCCCTTGCCAGGCGCGGCGCACACCGTAACGCCCATATCCTTCATTGTATCCAGATCCCAACTCTGGAAGTTGCCGCCCGTCGCAAATATAACCTTGAGGTTCGGTAGTTGGCGCAGTAGTTCGCCTGGAAACGGGGTGCGCTCGCGCATGGTGGAGAGGGCAGAGAAAGGTCTGAGGCGGTCAACGAGGGCTTTGCGGTCGGCATCGGATGTTTTCGGGTGCGCATATGACGGTAGAGTGTCGGTGAATACGGTTGTCTCGACTTTTGAAGGGTCGATGTGGGAGAAGTGCTGGGCTGCTATGTTATGGTAGTCATCGAGGACGGCGAGCTTGATGGGGAGGGAAGCCATTGTGCGTCTAGACAGGTGTGAAGAGTAACGATTCAATAGCTGGAGATGACGGGATGGAGAGAGACGTTGGAGGAGCATGGCGCTGTGGTTATATGATGCATCACCGCGTACCGCAGGTAGCTATCTCGGCATTTGAATCGGAAGGAACTGAGGGGTTCATTGGTACCTGACTGGAGTTATACTTTCTAATGAGATTCATCGGAAAAGCTTGAATGGAATTACCGGTTTTTTAGCTACATCAGAGAGTGATTGTTTCCATTGCGCGGCTGATAGACGCGGCTCTATGATGGTGCTCGAAAGACGGAAATGGTGGTGGATGTTCGGATAACGCTGCGTGACGTGCCGTGCTAGCTTACTAAGCCGAGCTGCTCGGCTTCGGCGCGCGGCTTCCTCGTCACTCCATCCTCCATCACCTCTTCAACGCGCAGAACCTTCGAATCACGTCATGGGAGACAACACTGGACCACGCGCTACTTTGAGTCCAGAGATTATGCGTGATGCATCCTGGCTACTACTGCGAAGCACACCACCGTTGCTGTGACCAGCTTGCACTTTACGCGACATTGACATGCCTTCAGCATTTCACGTATGCGCTTGACATGGGCGGCGAATAGCATCGCCACCATTCGCGCGATACTGCCTTACATCTTCACAGCTGTGTTTGTTCACTTGGTTTATTCCATAAACTTCATTCCAGGGGGCAGCGTGCTTCAAGACAAGTACATATCACCAGAGCACATGCTCGTCAATGAGAATGCGTCACTACCGAACCTGGTGCACTAATTGCATCTGTGTTTCCTCTTTTTCTGTTCTTTCTGCATAATACCGCAGCGCGGCATCAACATGAAACTCCTTGTAAGCCTACTGACCTTATCCCTGAGCACGCATGCTCTAGCTTTCGACTTCGCTCTAGCAGCTCCCATCAACCGCGGCGAGCGTGCGACGCCTACAATAACCAAGACATTTTACCACACGGAAGTGCGGAGACTGTCTACAAACTTCAAGGACCACCATGTTCGGAGCGAAAGCTTGGTGTCTGACTCCTCTGTATCTCTCTCTGATGAGGTCTTCGAGGCTCTGAACGGGGACACCGCGTCATCCATGGCAACAGCATTCCTTTGGCCGAGGGGAGCAAGTGGACAGAAGCCTACGATTTCGCAACTACCCGTTACTGGCGTGCCTGTAAGTTTCAACGCGAGGCAAGTCGGATTCGTACATTTCGACGATGACACCAAACGCGACGAGCCTCTTCATTCGGGAGTGAAAATCGTCGATAAAAGGAATACCGACCTCTACCATATCAAGATCGATCTTGCATCTGAAGGCTACATTTCAGTGTTCATGTCCAATAGCACAGCCTCCGCGTTCTGCAAAAGTGAGGTAGAGCTGGACTCGGAGGGTGGGCCAAAAGGAGAGCTACAATTGGCTGTTCGAAATTCCACAAAGGTCGTGGCTATACCTGTGCACCAAGAAGAGGCTGATAGCTTCTGCCTCCATTTCAAGAACGCGGAGGGTGTCGACAGCCCAATGAGTGGCAAAGTTCCTGGCAGCGCAACAGCGACAGCTTCGGCATCGGAAGGGAAGACGTCGAAGGTCACACCCAGCGAGACAACTCCGCAGGGTGTGTCGAAGTCATCTAAGCACGCGTCTACAGTCACCGCTTCGGAGACTGACACTGATGACTCGGCTTCAGCAACATCCGCGACCTCGACCAGCAAGACCACATCTTTGAACACGTTTGATGTCACTCATGAGATCGAGACTTCGAAGTCTACAAAACGTGTACCGACAGAAACTACCCCCTCTGAGTCAGGCTCTACTACCCCAAATGAAGGTACAAATGAGACCGTGTCTCGGACCTCCGAAGCGGACGACAGCAGCACTGGGTCTGAGGCAACAAAGTCTTCAAAGCACAAGTCCACGTCTATAACGGCTTCGGACAGTGAATTGGCTACTTCGGAATTGGCAACCGACGTGTCCAGCAAGCACAAGACCAAATCTACAGCCAGCGGAGCCGACGAAGATTCGTCAAAAACGGTCGAAGCTTCAGGCACACTAACGGTGTCAAAAGCTGCGAACGCCGACCCTTCTTCACCCGAAGAGAGCGCGTCACATTCTACAAAGGCAAAGTCAAAGACTTCCGATGCTTATGAGACTGAGGATATCCCCGAATCTGAGACATCGGTACAGGAGTATCGGGGTCCAGCTGTAGACCCCGCAAACCCTGCTGACCTAGACACCTCGACGCCTAAGGCCACACCAGCCGCTGTTCCTGTTAGCACAACTACGGACGAGCCGTTTACTGAAGCAAGCATAAACTCGTTTTACTCGTATATTAAGAGCTTTGTAGAGACTGCTCCAGACCCACCATCAACCGCACACATTGCTGATCAGACTTCAATCGAGACGACCGAATCTACGAACGGGGCTTTGCGACGTGGAATACTAATAGCGCCAACGCCGGCTTTGATAGGTGTCAGAGCTGAAACAAATCCTCACTCGACGGATAACAGCATGACATATATCTCCGACTATAGCTGGAAGGGCGCCGTTTCTACTGCTATAGCTTCTCCCACGGCGTCCAGTAATGCGGCAATCGGGAGACTGAAACCACCTTCCCTACTCTGGCGCATGTGGTACCCCACGACTACTACCAAAGTCATTCATTCGCGTAGCTTCAGTGGGCCTGGTGAAGAGCCTGAGCAAGAAGGCGAGGGGTTTTTCAATATCGATGGAGAAGATGATGGGCCTACGAGAGTCAGTACGGGTACGAGTGGAGTGGAAGAGGAGACGGCTGTTGCTACGAAGTTTGCGCATAAGCAGGAGGGTAAAGATGGGGATGATGGAGGTATTGATGCGAATAATGAAGACGAGGAAGGGGAAGAAGAGCTACCGGCTGATGAGGAGACGATGCCTGACGAAGAACCCGAGACTGATGAGGGAACGGCTGGAAACGACGAGACGCCTACGTCTACGAAGAGTAAGGCGTCACATACCAAGACTGCAGAAGATGAGGAAGATGACAGCGCGCCAACTACCGACACATCTACGGATGTTGAGGAGAAGGCAACATCTACGACGAAGAAACATACAGATACGGGTAATGACACTACCCCGACTGCCACCGCATCCGAAGACGTCAAAGAGAAGGCTACATCCACTAAGCTGAAACCCGCAGAAGATGATGAGGCAGCTACACCAAGTGTCACTTCATCCAAAGATGTCAAGGAAAAGGCAGCGTCTTCAAAGACGAAACATGCAGACAATGATGAGGAAGCTACGCCCACTTCCAAAGCAGCCGATGACACCCCGCCCGAAGACGAGGACGCACAACCTAACGGCGACGATGAATCCGAGATTGACACGTCCGCCGATGACAATACCTCCACAACCACTTCCCACAAGCCCAAATCCACCAAATCCGCAACTTCCAACTCCGATGACGATGCTGAGGAAGAACCAACTACGACCTCCACCTCCAAATCCAAATCCCCTCACAGATCCAAAACCCCAATCCCCTCCCTCGCCTCAGGCGTATCCTTCGCCTTCCCCTCCACCACCGCCCTCGTCCCCAATCCCTCCGCCAATCTCGCCCCACCTCCTCCTATCCCAACAGGCACAGCGCCGATGCCAACACAGCCCATAATCTGGGACCCAGACTGTCCTCAGATCTCAACGTCGACGTTGACAGCAGAGAATGGGGTTACGACGGCGGTGCCGGTGACTGTGGGGGTGGGGTGTTGGAGGACGTTACCACAGGCTGGGAATGGAGGGGATGGAGGAAATGGAGGGAATGGAGGCGATGATACGATGACAGGAGGCGCAAACGGGCATATGATCAAGAGTAAAGCGTGGAATATCCTTAGTGATGTGCAGAATGTGAAGTTGGGGGTGGTATGTTGGATGGTTATTGGGGGGATGTTTTGGCAGTAAGTCAATCGCTATCCCCTGTACTCATCCTTCATCCCACTTCTTAGTCCTTCTATGTAGTACTGACCTATTCTATCGCTGCTTAGGTGGTTTGTAGGTCAATCACAGTTCCTCCGCGGTGAATGGCATCTCGGCCGCAAGTTCGTGTGGTATATACTCGGTTTAGAGATGTTGGGTATAGGGCGGAGGTTGGGAGAAAGGGCCGAGGAAGCGCAGAGGACGTGGGAGAAAGCGGAGAGGGAACGGGAAAGAGTTGAGCGGTTGGCTAGGTTGGGTGGGTAATACTGAATTTGGTATTTGAGTTGCTTTGGGGTGGTTGAGGAAGGGGCGGTTGGGCTGAGGGGAAGGCTGTTGTGTTGGGGACAAGACGCTCACGGTGGTTGTGTGATGGTGCGATGCGAGTTATGTTATCCTATACGTACATACAAAGTCTACGACTGTAATTATTCTGTATCTGGGTATCATATGCAAACAATTCTCAGACTGCGAACAACACCCCTCTCCTCTTGGGCGAAACTGCCCTATCCTTCCCTTTCTTATCAGCCAGCCCTTACACCAACTCTCCTACCCAGCCCTAATAGATGCAGTCGTTTGTTCCTCACATTCTCGGAACAAAAGCAACAAACGACTGCATCTACCCATGCTAAGTAGCAGCGTTGGAAGAGACGTCGGCGGTTACTTCTACTACTTCTGCCCTCTTCCCTCTTAGTCCAATCTCCCACTACATTCTAATACGCAGCCCGAGTAAATCCGCCAGTTCTCCCATACCCCCTCAGAAGTAGCGTGACATTGTCAAGAGGAAGATTCACTTCGCCAATGTCACGCAACTTCCGAGAACGTATGGAGCAAACGACCGGATTTACTCAAGCTGAGCAGGAGCGTTGAGGTTGAGACTGACGACGACCCTCCTCCTTGTTCCATTTACAATCTTGACCTTCAAGCAGCCGGGAATAGGCGAGATCCGGGTGGGTGGGCAAGGTTCAATCTCTCGTCCGGTCTCCTCGCAAGCTTCCTAGATAGCCATCTGGAGGTTTAGATGACATGTACGCGATATGGTGGTGGCATCTCCTATGTAAGACAAGGCGAGTTTCCTTTAAGATGATCTGAGGTCACTCGTCTTGTCCCACATAGGAGGTGCTACCACCATATCGCGTACACCCCACCCAAGCACCCGAGCGGGAATTGATGCGGGATGCGGGATGCGGGATGTTGGCTGTTTGTCTTGCTTCCCCTGCCCGTACACCACCCACCTCTTCAAGTAAGCAGAATCCTCGCATCCTCATGCATAATCATAACCTCCTCATTCTCAAAACTATACTTCCGCCTCACAATCTCAAACACAATAAGTCCCGCCGCGGTACTGGGAACCTGTTTAATCGTGCTCATGAAGAAGTCTCTGTAGAGATACTTCCTCCAGCCGCCGACCCTCTTGGCTAGAACCTTGCACTGAGCAAACGTTTCTTCGTAGGCGTGGTAGTAGCGTCGGACGATATGACTAGGCTTGTTGTCTTGGTGTGCCTGGAAGTCCAGCGCTTCGAGACGCCGGTAATGCACGTCTTGGATTTCGGTCAAGGGGTGCTGGATGAGTTGGGAGGTGATGGATGCGGAGACGCCGGCGAGCAGGAGGAACATGGGTTCGAGCATGTAGTGGGGGCGGATGACGGGGCGGTCGTCGTGGTCTTCTTGGAGGTAGGGGATGGATTTCTCGAGGAGGGTGTCGCGCGTCCGACTTCCGTAGTAGCGGCTCACGAATTCGAGGTAAGCTTGGCTCTTCACTGTTTCGAAGGTGCCGAAGAAGACGGCGGCGCCGAATGCGTCTTTCATGAAGGAGAGAGACCACCCCGCGAAGATGCCTTGGACGCCGATGGATCTGAGTTTGTGCCCGGCGTAGTGCCACATTGTCTTGTGGCGGCCTTCGAGGATGTCGGCGGTGCGGAAACGGGTCTGCAGGGCGTCGAAAGGGGCTGCAATAACAGACTGGCATGAGCCACCGATGAAGCCTGCGGTGAAGGTAATGGAAGGGGGAGGGGGTGGGTAAACGCGTTTGGTCTGGTGGGAGGAGGGTTCGTGGAGGGCGGAGAGGGAATGCAGATAGGCTGTGTATAGGACGGCGCCGATACTATCTCGCTATTAGTATGAGCATGATAGAGAGAGAGAGGTTGCATACCAAGTATTAGCCATCAGCGGTGGCAGCACCTGCTTCGGTATAAACCCCCATCCCTCAGTCCGTATCGCATGCGCCAGAACCGCGGGCGTAGTCATCCTCCACGACCACTTCGCATCCGCCATAACATGTGGATTTATCGCCCTCGCATAGCTCATGTAGTCGATCCTCCCCCTAAAGAAAGCTTTGACTGGTGCTCGGAAGTAGAAGGCGACCATCCTCGCTGCCACGGCCCGCATACCAGCGGCCTGTACACCCGTCGCTGGTGCCTTGTTGGGGGCTTGCGGGGCATCGGGCGTAGTTGTCGTGGTGTCATTGGAGACATCGCTTCGGAGAGAGACTCCAGCGCGAGGACTGGAGCCGGTCGTCATCGCATAGTGTTGGTGGTTGGGGAGGTTTGCAGACGCATGGGTGGGGTGGTGAGGGTTTTGAGGTGGATGAGGCAGCCGCGTGGGAGGGTCACAAGATGGGAGTGACTTTGGACGTGACCAAAATGTGGGAGTCTACAACAACAAAAGATGACCAAAGTATGTACAAGAAGAAAACGTGACGTTGAAAAGTGTTGCCTAGGAAGATGTGGGGTTTATTAATGCCAGCTGTAGAGAGCTTTGCTAGGTGAGGTTGGCGCTAGTATGATTGTGGAGTTGAGAGGTGCACGGGCCCCCAGCGCGTACCTCGCGTCGCATCATCCTTTCGCGACTTTCTCATCGCTGCCTTCTCTCTCCCACCTTCTCCCTCGCAGCTACGCCAAACCGCCTGGAGGATATCTTCAGCGCATCCTCAGCCATGGCGGAGAACGACATTGTCATCGACAAGGCGCTATTCCACGAGCGCCTCAACGCCCTCGTCACCAAGTGGAAGGCCGACAAGCGCTCAGGCGACGCTGTTTTCCAGGGCGCAAGCTCCATCGCGACTCTTGTGGGCAAGGCGAGTGAGCCAGGCATCTATTTGAAGCCCGCAGCCTTCCAGGTAAGATTGCGCATATCGACATGTGATGAACGGACAGTGAGCTGATGAGACCCAGCTATGGCTGCTAGGCTACGAGTTTCCCGCGACGCTCTTCATCCTGACCCCCGACCTCCTCCAGATTGTCACAACCAAGAAGAAGGGTGAGTCTGCGGCCACGACTTGAGTTTGAGCACATTCACTAATGAGGATAGCTTCCTACCTCGAACCGCTCAAAGGTGGCAAGGTGCCGGTTGAGATTCTCGTCCGCGGCAAGGACGCCGAAGAGAACAAGAAGCAGTTCCAGACATGTCTCGAGACGATGAAAAAGGCCGGCAAGAAGGTGGCGGTGCTGAAGAAGGACAACGCCAACAACGCCTTTGCGAACGAGTGGAAGGCTGCCTTTGACGAGGCTGGCTTCAAAGAGGAGGACCAGGTCGATCTGGCCTCCATCATGTCCAACGCCGCATTGTCAGTCAAGGACGAGAAGGAGCTGGTAAGTCTGATCGCACAACTCCGCACTGGCCTTACTGACCTTTTAGCGAACCATCCGCGACGCCGCCCGCGCCTCGAGCGCCCTCATGTCCAACTACTTCGTCGAGGAAATGTCCGACATCCTCGATTCCGAGAAGAAGATCTCCCACCGCGCCCTCGCCGACAAGGTCTCCAACAAGATCGACGACGCCAAGTTCTTTGAGAAGCAGAAGTTGTCCAAGACATTCGACTCAATGCAGCTGGACTGGTGCCTGCAGCCTACCATCCAGAGTGGCGGCTCATACGATCTGAAATTCGCGGCCGAGCCCGACGAGAACAACCTGCACGCGGGCGTTATCATCTCTGTGCTCGGTCTGCGCTACCAGACATACGGCGCCATGATCGGTCGCACATTCATGGTCGGGCCCAACAAAGAGCAGGAGACTGCCTACAAGCTGCTTCTGGCGATTCACGACCTGGTCATCAAGTCGATCAAGGACGGTGTGGTGGCCAAGGACGTCTACAACAAGGCACTCGCGCATCTCAAGTCGAAGAAGCCAGAGTGGGAGAAGCACTTCCCCAAGAACCTCGGTTACGGTATCGGTACCGAGAACAAGGACTCTTCGCTGCTCCTGAGCGGCAAGAACACTCGTGTCCTGAAGGACGGCATGACCTTGGTAGTTCAGACTGGTCTTGCGGACCTCGAGAACAGCAAGCCGCAGGACAAGAAGAGCAAGAACTACTCGCTCGTCTTGGTAGACACCGTCCGTGTCAGCGCCGGCGACTGCGCAGTCTTCACCAAGGACACTACCTCAGATCTGGACGCTGTCTCGTTCTTCTTCGATGACGAAGAGGAAGAGGCCAAGCCGAAGGTCAAGAAGGAGCGCCCAGCTATCGCCCAGACGAACATCACCAAGACCCGCACACGCCACGAGCGAACAACAAACCAAGATGCCGAGAAGGAGGAGCAACGGCGGCAGCATCAAAGAGAGCTACACGCCAAGAAGCAGGAGCAGGGTCTTGCCGAGTACAGCGAAGGCGCGAAGTCCTTAAACGGCACAGAAGAGAAGAAGTTTAAGAAATTCGAATCTTACAAGCGCGACAACCAGTTCCCTAGCTCGGTCGCCAACTTGGAGATCGTAGTCGACAAGAAGAACCTCACTGTTCTTCTGCCGATCATGGGCCGACCCGTGCCCTTCCACATTCACACCATCAAGAACGCATCGCACACCCCCGAGGCGGACTTTACATCTCTCCGCATCAACTTCCTCTCACCAGGTCAAGGTGTTGGCCGGAAGGACGACCAGCCGTTTGAAGACCCCAACGCACACTTCATCCGTAGTTTGACCTTCAAGTCGCACGATGTCGACCGCATCGACCAGATCACCAAGGACATCACAGAGCTGAAGAAGGACGTTGTGCGAAGGGAGACTGAGAAGAAGCAGATGGAAGACGTCGTTGAGCAAGACAAGCTCATCCCCCTCAAGACCCGCAAGCCGCACATGCTCGACCTCATCTTCATCCGCCCCGCACTCGACGGCAAGCGCATCCCGGGAAGTGTCGAGATCCACCAAAACGGTCTGCGCTACGTCCACGGAAACGGCACAGCCAAGATCGACGTCCTCTTCAGCAACATGAAGCACCTCTTCTTCCAACCCTCACAACACGAGCTCATCGTCATCATCCACGTCCACCTCAAGAACCCAATAATGTTGGGCAAAAAGAAGACAAAGGATGTGCAATTCGTCCGCGAAGCCACAGAGATGCAATTCGACGAGACAGGCAACCGCAAGCGGCGCCACAAGTTCGGCGACGAAGAAGAATTCGAGCAAGAACAAGAAGAGCGCCGCCGCCGCGCAGCCCTCGACAAGGAATTCAAGAACTTTGCCGAGAAAATCGCCGACGCCGCCCGCAACGAGAACGTCAGCGTCGATATCCCTTACCGCGAGTTGGGTTTCAACGGTGTCCCATCCCGCTCCTCCGTCCTCGTCCAGCCCACAACCGACTGCCTCGTCCAACTCACAGAACCCCCTTTTACCTGCCTCACCCTCTCCGAAATCGAAATCGTGCACTTGGAACGCGTGCAGTTTGGTCTCAGGAACTTCGACATGGTGGTTGTGTTTAAGGACTATAACCGGCCTCCCGTCCACATCAACACCATCCCCGTCGAGTCCCTCGACCCCGTCAAAGACTGGCTCGACAGCGTCGATATCCCGTTCACAGAGGGTCCCCTCAACCTCAATTGGGCCACCATTATGAAGACCGTTACGTCGGATCCCCACCAGTTCTTCGCCGATGGCGGTTGGTCGTTCTTGTCGAACGAAACTGACGACGAAGGCGACGGCGAGGAAGAAGAGGAGTCTGCGTTTGAAGTTAGTGAGTCTGAACTCGCTATCTCAGATGAATCCTCCGACGAGAGCGACTTTGATGAGAATGCGAGTGAGGAGATGAGTGATGAGGGCAGTGAAGATGAGTTTAGCGAGGGAGAGAGTTGGGATGAGTTGGATAAGAAGGCCGCGAGGAAGGATAAGGAGGCGAGGGATGAGGGGGCGAGTGAGGATGAGGGGAAGAAGAAGAGGAAGCGCTAGTATGCTATTTTTGCGAGGGGGGATGAGGGAACGCGTGAGGATCACGTCCGGTTTGACGCGTGTTTTGGGAAGTTTTATGAGAGGATTCTGGCGATGGATGGGGAAAAGAAGTGACGGTGGAGAGTGGAAGGGGGAGGGGAAGTTGGGGGGTTTGTGTAAGATTACCATGGAGATTCATTTGGTGGTCTGCTACTGCGCGTAAGGAGCGCCGATGCGTGGTTTTTGGTATTACTGCCGAACCGAGAGTGGGTTGGTTGGCAGCACGAGGTTCTTTTCATTGCGAATAAAGTCTTAGTTCTTGTAATGCAAAGTATCTGTCCGCTGCTTTCCTTACTTTAATTCGTAAATTGTGTTATCGTGTCATACTACGCATGCGCCACCGCCACATAATGGAAGAAAACCAGAACAAGATACTACCACTGCGACTACCGCGCCTGCTCGAGCCCCAACCAGTCTCGATACCCAAGCACACAAGCGTTTCTTTCTCCACAAATGTGCTACGCGGCGTACAAATAGCGGGATGGAAACGTAGATCTTCTTCTACCTCAGTCCTCTGCCACCATAGAGTAATCTAGAGGCGCATTTCTCTGAGCCATTTGTCCCCCTCGCTGCCAGCCGCAGGTTTGGGCTCCAGATCTCCGTATCGCTGTTGCCACCAACTAGGTCTCTTCTCGAGTCTTGGAGGAGTGCGCGGGTGAAGTCTACCCCCGACCCTGTCGGACTTGTCAGTGGCCGCTAGTTCAGGCGCACGAAGTTTCCCTTGCTTTTCACTACTAGACGTTTGGATTTCGGTCGTTGCGTCGGCCTCTTGAGCCATTTTTGAAGACTCCGCCGATTTCGCCTGATCTGCTTTCGCCATTTGTGGCAGTGACGGGTCGCGGAATTCCTCTCTATACAAATGCTTGCTCCAGATGTGCCGTGCGAGCATACATCCATTTTCGTAGTTTCGAGCAGATGATCTCGTGTGCGTCTCCCAGGACCCGTAGCACCCTATAGGGCATTTTTGACGAAAACTTCTTTCTGCGTGATCCCATGTGTAGTGTCCCTCAAACGTTGAGAAGTTCTTCCAGACAATGTAGCTCAGTCCACACGCTCCATCCCTGCCTGGACAACCCCATCGCGGCATACGCGATCTTGCTTGCCAGTGAAGGATAGTCTTACACATGAGGTCGTCGAGTGGGAGTCCCTTGGGAGGCAATTCCCATTCGGGTAGCGTGGCCTCTACTACGAAGTTATTAGCTGGATTGGTATTTGTGGGCATGAACACTGACTAGTTTCACCGACACTGCCTTGTCCTCCTGATGGGTTTCTCGATAGAATTCCCAGTTCATGAAGCACAAAATCCCAACGAAGAATCGCCTGCATTCGTCTCCGTCTTCTCCACGCAAACGGCTCCATGTCACTGGGCGAGGATTGTGTTGGCTCCAGCTCCAAGCTCTCGTGTGGAGGAAAGCCTGAACGAGAGTCCGCGGGTATGTTCCATGGATAAATACCAGTCGGCACAGGCGCTTCTTGGAGGGGATTGGCGATCACGTTCTTGGCATCCTTGAACTTGGCAAAGGCCTCATCGACCGGCTCAATCGACTTTGCAGACTGGCCTATCGTCTGAGAGCCGTCTTTCTCTGACTCTGTATCGTTTGCAATGATAGACAATGCTGATGCGCGACCCTTCTCAATCTGCACACTCGGTTCTTGTGGTTCTCCGCCACCCTTTGACTGGTCTGCGATATCAGGGTACTCTGTCTTTGACGTCAGGCCCCTCTTGTTAAGATCATAAGTGGAAACAAAACGATTAGCAGGGAATATCCGTCCATCACCAAATGTCGAGACTGGCGCTGGACTATCTTCCCCAGGCTCTTGTGTTGACGATACTTCTGTTTTTTCGAGAGGACCTGATTGGATAGGTACATATTTATCTTCCTCAACGTGTACATAGGGACGACCATCTTTCCAGGAACCTTGGTGACTGATGCCAATTGGGTCTTCATCGGAAGTGTTCAGGGGCTCTGTCTTCGGTATCATGTCGGCGCCTATTAAATCGAGAGGCGAGCCGCTAATCATGACGGGGTGTTGGTTATCGTCGGAAGTCGAAGTTTCTGCTGGATGCGGTACTTCTACGACTAAGGGCGATGGAAGAGGTTCCTCCCTACCCGTATGTTGTTGTGGCTGTTGTGGTGGTGTACAAGCCATTGGCTGATCGGGGTTCGGGAGTTTGGTAGAGAGCGAGACCGGATGCTCGCTCATTGGAGTTGTAGCCTTCGCCTTTCTTCGGACTTCCAGATATTGGGTGACTGTAGGCAGAAAGAGCTGTTTGACAGCGTCTAGGTGGAATGGCTGGCGGAACTCGAATCGGTATGCTGGCCCGTAGGAGTCGGTTCGTTTTGGCTGTGGCACTGCACGATTCGGTGGAAGTCGCTGTGCTCGACCGTTCTGTCCCAAAGGCAAATGTGGCTGCGTCTTTGGCAAGTTGGTGCTATCGGAGGAATTTCTGCTGTTACTTGGGTGAGGTGATCCAGGATTGGGCCCAAGATGTTGATCAGCTAGGCCAACCGCTCCATGGGATGATTGTGAAGATAATGCGGGAGTTTGCGGAGGTAGCGATCCTCCTGAGCCATCATGTCCACTATCGGTATCTGATATCCTCCCACGCTCTTCTTCATCTAGTCTCGACAAGATCGGAGCTGGATCTTCGCTCGCCTCTTCTACATTTGAGCCGAAGCAGCAACTTGACGGGGACCGCGAAAGCAATGAGAAGATGAAGTCGGGGAATGAACTATTCTCAGCGTCATTATAGAGGCTCTGGAAACTCCAAATGACTCGAAGGAGAGTAGCGAGCGAGACCACGACGGCAATTATCTGACCGATCGAGTTGGCGTTGGAGCTTGGTTGGAGGTTGTACTCTCCAATGGTAACTTCGGCAACTACCATAGATGTGAGCGAGTATAGAGCGTATGCCGTATACGATACTGATATCGTCGCAGAGTATTGTCTATACAGCAGGCCAGCCTGTAGAGTAGCCTTTGTTACTTGTCGATTTGAATCCCGCAGTTCACGCGCTAGAGCTATAGCCTTTTCCCAATACGTCTTTGGCTTTGTACCATCGCGGTTCAAGATTGGAATGCGCCCTTCTTTCTCAGATCTGTGGAACCACTCGGCGTTGTACAAAGAATGGAAGGACGAGTGGATCCACATCATCCAACGAAGCGTGTAATAGATCCAGAAGAGAGAAAGCTCGTTACCGGAGAAGGCCTTACAATCGCTTAACCGGGACCACCAGAAGATAGTAAGACACTTGCAGTCTTGCGATGCGAAGCCTCCCTTGGTGAACTTGACCACCAGCACTGGCAGGAATACTAGACCGAGGATCTGGGCTGGTATAAGTATGAGCACCTGCCATCGAGCTGCGAGGGTCTGTTTGGCAGTGACAGGAATGAGTAGAGCGATGTTTTGGGCGTCCAAAATGACTGCGCCGATCGCCGCATCGACGGATGTCAATGTCTTTTTGTACATCTGCACAATGATGGCGATGGCGAGGGAAACATGTGTGAGAATTAGGCCACCTGCGACTTCTTTGATTGCTGTCTCTTTCTTATGGAGGTGGCCCGAGCTACTGATTAAGATCAGCATTGCAATTTGTCCCCAGATAGAGGCGCGTACGCCGACACCACTGATGTCGGCATCCGGCTTCGTGCTACATGCATTCTCTGTGGCGCGATACGTGTCGCTTGCGCCAGAGAAGAGCACAGATACTATTACCACACTCAGTGTAGTAAAGAGGAGCGGGATGAGAACTCGACTTATATCAGCCTTCATAAGAAGTCTCTTCGCTTTGCTGGTCAATGATGCGTCAAGAGGCCGCCCAGGGTTTGGCTCAGGTAGCTCATTTTCGAGATTCGTTGGCGATAGGTTTACCTTCGTCCTGAAAAACACTATGTCGCTCGCAATATTGATAACTTGGAAGAGTAGCCTGATCATGCGGGTTAGCGATCAGAGTTTGTCAAAGCCAGCACAAGCCGTACAACAAGAGTAGCGCCGTAAGTCGGGGCTGCCATCCAATCGCCATATTACGTATCCGTTGTCCAAATCTAGCCGCCAGTTGCTGTAGTCAGGATATAAGATTGCGTGAGTGATTCGGAAGCGAGGTTGAAGAAGGCCAGAATGGAGGCATTGTCAACCCTAACATGTCAACAATGTATCTGCTGGGAGAGCTAAAGTCTCAGCTGAAGACAGCTGAGTTCGCGTACAAGCCTTTCGAAAGGCGCGGGGGCTGCATATCGTGGATAGCACTTGTGGCGTTATTGGGCCAGACAGAGCCTATCGCGCGCCCATGACCAGCCTGCCATCTCTTGCCAGGCAGGAGGTTTCGCGTTACGAGCAATACCGATCACCATCTTTTTGCGACATGATGTGAGAGCGCAGTCTGCAGTCCGTCGTCGTGAATCCAGTAGTATTATGTCGTGATGGTATAACAATGAAGGTTTCGGGGGGGACGCCTTGCATCGCTCGGCGATTTAGCTGCTGCGGAAGCGAAAATGGAAGGATCTAGATTGTCGGGGGTTCGGCAATTGCATTTGCCAAGCATCACGTGATTGCGTTCCAGCCCTGAGGAGGCGCCTGACAAGACCTCCAACACATCTTCCGTTCACGCTTTGCTAGATTGGCATCAACTCCGGGATTTTGATACATTATTGACGGCTTTTGAGTCGCTCCATTGACGATGATCTATACTGAGGTTCGCATTGAGTCGCGCAATCCGTGTACTACTTATCGTGTCCCCAGTATGTTTTCAACCGTAAAGTAGCAGATGCTGACTAGCTGTATCTACCTTACTCAGCAAGTCTAGCTAATTGGCTGATCTGGCGTTATAGTGCCCATAATCCTAAGCAAGGCTGCGGTTGAAAATGTCACTGAGGGCATCACTGTATGGCGCTGCGGCACGGGGAGTCTGGAGGCCTGATTATCAGGCTGCCACCCGGGCGGCTGCACAGGGCCCACATCAGCGCCACTATGCACCCTCGAATCCTACTCCACAACAAGTCGCAAATAAAATTGCGCAATTCATAACCGAACGAACCTGTCGCAGCCGCATGTCAACGCCTCACGGATAGACACAGCTTGTAAGCCTCCCAGTCAGTCTTCCAGGTACTGCGCAGCGAGCCTTGGGCATCTGACTCGCAATCTCTGAGCCGTAATCGTGTGGGGCGGTGGGCTGTGACAGGCGGCTACATCGAACGCTACTGTTGCTACGCTGGAAATGTTCACACACTCCACTTACTCCGGGCATCTGATATCCTGATTGGAGACGACGCAGATTGCAAGTAAGTCGGCTAGCTGTTGCTCATTGCTTTTGCTGCGCAAAATGCCACCCAAATAGGACTTATCCCGAGGTTCGATACAGCCTTGACAGCCGAAAGATGCGGCTGTGGCGTTGCTATGTAACACTGTTATGCTGCTCGTACATAAAAGCCGTCTAGTCCGTTCCGCGGGCTTACAAGCTAATTTTCATAATGCACCCTCTGCAGTTGCAAGCTGTTGACTATCGCCCTGTTGCTTTTGCTCCTGGGATATGGCGGCCACACAGCAGAACAAGGACCAGTTCAGCACCTCTGATATCGAACTCAGTTTCGCCGACAGCGAGGAACGAACACGTCGTGAGTCGCAGATCAGTACCGATGCACCCCAGCTGGAACTCCTTCACCACTGCGAGCTAGATGCCGCCAACTCAGACGATTGTCTCCGCAGCTCACGCGAGAGAGTACCGAGTACTGCTTTGAACTATGAGCTACCGAATGCCCCTCTGCTTGAGAAGCAATCTGACCTCCCTCTCGGGTGGCCAACATCACCGCGACCCGTCAAGATATCCTTTGGTAGTGCCACCTGGAAGATTCTTGTTGATCTTCTCCTACTGGTTCTCTCACTCACATTTCTTGCTTTTGCTCTATTCGTCATCTGGTACAACGGTAAACCCACTAGCCGCCACCAGGATGCAGCTGAGAGGATCAAACAAGCTTCAATATGGGTTCGTATGTATCCGGGCGTGTCAGAAAGCTCATTCGCTCATCCTGCCTAGGGCCCGACAATCTATCCCATACTCTTTGCCTCAGTGGTTGGGAGAGCGACGTTTGCGATCTTGCTTTGGAGGCTTGGAAAAGGCGAACGAATCGGCAATTTGGACACACTTGCTAGTAGCTCTTCGCTCACCAGCACCGTGGTCTCACAGTTGCAACTCCGAGCTATCAGCTATGTAGGCGTCGGTCTCATAGCTATATGGATACTGTCTCCTGTGGGCGGTCAAGCATCTTTTCGACAGATAAGCTACGGGCCAAAAGACTTTCCTGAAAATGCGGAATTTCTCTACATCGTGCCTAGCCCGTGGCTGTGGCTGCCTGATTACGAATTGTTCAAGCCCACCTTGGACAGCTCTTACCTCGCTGCCCTCATGAGTCAGACTACTACACAAGGCTCTCCACGCGATACCTGGGGTCACGTCAAGGTACCTCGGATCGAGCATTACGAAAGCACATCCCCTCTCGGGGATGAAGGCTGGTACAGTACAGAAAACAGCACTCTGGAATCTTACTCTTCGTTCATTGGTGTTCCCATGAGTGGAATGAATTCACCGGAGTTCATTGACTACTCCACCACGATCCAGGCGAAGTACTTTCATCTGGAATGTGATCGATACCTCGATGATTCCGACGATTGGGACGCCCAGTTCACATTCAACACCACAAGGTGGCTGGGGTACGTGTATTGGAACGAAAATGTCACGAGCCGTGCCGAGATCCCTCCCGATGAAGTTGAGCCTTTCGCGTTCGTCATTGTCAGCAACTCATTACTGGGACTCATCTGGGATTGTACGATTCAGACAACGTACGTGGAAGCTGAAATCGCATGCTCTACGTATGATGCCTGTGCTGTGGTTCGTATTCGACGCTCTCGCCTCGCACACCCACCGCCAGCATATACCCAACTGGGTCCGCTGGTAGGATTCCAGAACACACCTTGGGAATCTGCGCTTGTGAATATGGCTATTGAAGATGGCTCAACTGACGCGTTCTACGGGTATGACGACGACGCCGGTTCTAGCTTCCTTAGCATGTATCACATGTCACAGGACTATTACGTAAACCCCACAAACATTGTAAATCTGCAGGACGTTGTGGTGGATTATAAGACTATTGTCCCACGTCTCAGTCAGGTAGTCAATGCATATTGGGCGACAATGAACGGCAAAGCCTCGCTCAGGGGTAATTTTGACGCATCCACCCGTCGATCAAATGCAAATGTCTCTTGGTACGATCAAGATCAAGATGATTTCCATAGCATGGATTCATTTGATCAAGGCAACGCGGAAACTCTAGCAAAAGCATGTCCGAGTACAGGAACAAGACGCAGTAACGTCGAGGTCTTCAAAGCGCACTTCGGCTGGGTCATTGCGCTTATAGTCTCGTCGACCGTGCTCATCGGAGCGAGCCTGGTGCCTTTTTACCTCCGCACCTTTCTCCCGCACGGCCCAGACGTGCTCATGAACTTCTCTAGTCTGGCTGCGAGAGATAATCCTTACGTAGCTTTACCGGCGACGGGCACATATCCCGACGCAGCTGATCGATCGCGATTGCTGAAGGACGTGCGCATACGTTTTGGAGATGTCGAAGAGGGCGGTGAGATCGGGAGGTTGGCGATTGGACGGGCGGACGGGGATGTTGCGCCGCTGAGGAAGGAGAGGAAGTATGCGTAAAAGCTCCGGGAAGTAGGTGGGAGATGAGGGTAATCGGATGTCATGATACTACGTGTTGGACACGTGCTTTCAGACTGTAGCGACGATGGTCTCTCTACTTGCCGGTGCAACGCCTGGATCTAACAACGCAACTCATTGATAGCGCAGTGGTGGAAATTCCTGGGGATGTAGCGCGAAGACTACAAATGAAGTTGCATGGCGCTTTAGTATCGTTGTTAGCACATGTCACCCCCACAAATTAGCATCATATATGAGATAGCAATGGTCCGCGCTTGTGATAATGCGTTAGACAGCGGTTTTCGCAAGCTAGGGTAATCCATTCTGTCAAGACAGAATTGTTCCACAATGGAAGGATTGAAGTTCTCTGTGCAGTACATCGTAGCGGCCGTTATCAACCTCAACAATTCGGGGAGAGAGCAACGACATGGGTGGACATTATCCGCAGATATATTAATGAAGAGAAAAGCACTATCAAAAGCCAACGGCAAACGGGAGAACCTAAACAATCCTCTAAAAAGCTGATCTCACGCCTGATAGTCTCTCCATGAATGCTTCATGAGGTTCTGCCCATCACCCCACCTAGAAAATTGGTTTTGCTATTTGACGATTTCACAGATTGCTAATCATGCGAGTTTTCTGCAAGGGACGTGTTTTTGAAAGAGTTCACAGACTTATAACCACGCGCCGTTTGTCTCGTACGATGAATAGCAGTAGGCTTCAGTTTGGTCTTCAACCCGTCAAAGGCAAGCCGTACTGCTGCTTGAAGTACTCCCCGGCGTCCTTGAAGGGGCGGATTCAGTTCAGCCAGCGCCCAGCCAATAGCGTTCCACGTCTTCTCATTGTCCTGGTCATCACCCTTGTACTGATCTCTTGGAACCAGGGCCCGAGGATAGATGCAGTTGTCTATCTTGAATCCATGAGGTAAACTCTCGATGTCAACTTTCTCGATGTCGTGTCGAAGGGTATAATCTGTTTTGACCCCATCGTGAGAGTACTCAAATGCAATCCAATCAACAGCATCCACGCCTTGTCGCACAATTTCAAACCGGGGTTTCAAGCCTTCGAATGCTCCAAGCTCTTCCGCAGGAGATTGAGAGGAAACACCTAGGTTTGTCGGTATAGAGTCTTCGTGTACAGCGTCTGATGAATCCGACGGTGATTCATTTTCTCTTTCTCCTGCTTCGACATCAGAGATGGTATCTAGGCTGCTTATATAGTTGCTGTCATGGCTTTCGTCATCCGCCGATTCAGCGTCCGAGTCGACACCGGAAGGTAGTATTGCAAGTGCGATTTCCTCCATATGACGTGCAATATGAAGTGATAACACATCACGGTTCCCCGAAGTAAAGTCAACACACAAAGGGCATGTCACTTCTGAGACTCGGGCGTCCATGCCGTGCTGATCTTGTAGATGGTTCATCAGCCCCTCGCCGTTCTCCCAAAAGACGCTTGTTCCGTGGCATTCGGGGAAGAAACAAGCGTATGCGAGTATATCATCAAACACATGCTTTCTAGAACGACATGATCAGCGTTGTTGTAATTGGAGTGTTGCAATGAAGGTCAACTCACTTCCATGCTTTGGTTCGTTGGAACTGTACCTGCTTTTCGCAGATCTCGCATGTGAAGGGCTCGCCAGCCCGCGCTTGGGCTGGCAATGGCGGCACACGCTTGTGACTTGCCTCAGCCCTGCTCGACACCATTGAGGGCTCGTAAAGTGGTTCTGCTTTTACTCCCGCAATTGTTTGGGCTGGTACCGAGGTACCCAGACCAGAGTCGTGGAAGATGGTTCTTGCTTTTTCGAGAGTCGTCTCTTGAAGCTCCTGCTTCATTGCTTCCCGTTGCAGACGAAGGATGTGATTATATCGATCCCAGTTCAACCTCCCAAGTTGTGCCACCATTTCTGGTGGAGCAAAAGGGAACTTTTCTGCAACACTGCTAGCGTAGGCTTGTTCCGGTAGGGTTTCTCCAATGTCTTGGATAGTACGAGGCTTCTCCTCGTCGAAAATTTCTTCCGCCGGCGATTCCAGGCTGGGTGCCAACATGACCAGTGTATCAATCTTCGTACGGAGGGTCTGACACATTGTCTCCGCGTCTTGCTCGGGCTGATAAGCGTAATCATGTTGTCGACCAATCATGTCCGTGACTTGTTCCAGGGCAGTCGCAAAATCGGTAGACTGTAAAATCTCTTTTCGGTGATGTTCACTGATGACAAGGTTTATCAAAGCTGACTCGTGTAAGTGTTGAGGCGACATAGTGGTGTGGGTGAAGTCTACTTACAAGTGCTCACAAATCGAGAGATGGATACAAGAACGGCCAGGCAAGTGTTGCGCAACTGGGGAGAGCCTTGAAGCACATCGTCGAGCTCGCCTCGCGGCAGTCCAAGGTCGGTGCCCCAGAATAACAAAGTCGCGCAGGTTGACTCTAGAGAAATGTAATGCGCGGCATCACTAGATTGGCTTCTGAACTCCTTCATGATGAGTCCCAGCGTCTCTGTGAGAGATTTGAATAGTGACCCAAGAATTCCTAGCTCCTGGAGTTCGACATGTTGCACAGTGTCCAGGGCGAGCAATTGTGAATCCTCGTCCTCCTCTTTCTTCACAGAAGAGTGAGCTGATCTAGCTTTGCTACTCCCAGTCGTTTCCTTCACGTTTTCGAATTGGGGTTGAGAGTCGATATAAGGCGTGAGCTTCTGATCCAAAGTCTGATATACGAGTGACCCGATGTCATCCACGAACAAGGGATATAGCAAGTCGACGACCTTTTCCGCGGTCGCCAATTCCAAGGCACGCTCGAACGGAATCCAGACGCCTTTGAAATGTGTTGGCCCGAGTTTAACCACGTGTTTAGTCTTCTCACTCTTCAGCAAAGCGCCTTTGCGTGCTGCTGTCATACCAGCCAATGTGAGCAGCTTTGTGCCGTTGATCATACGATTGTCGTCGCGACGAGCTACGGAGACACCCCTAGTCTCGATTTGATAACAGTGGCAGCCTTCATCTTTCCAAAAGGTGCAAGTGACTGTAGGCAAAGCCCCCGGAGTAGCGATCTTGCCTGCGCGACCGAAAGCGACCGGTAGGTGGTTCTCTGAACCAGAACTGGAGAAGGTATGGGCGCCCGGAGCCCTTGCCGGCAATTGTGTTGGAGGCGAATTGGTTAGCTCACTCGCTGGAGACGACGAGGTGTCTTGCGTGCGTTCCATTTCAGCCTGCCGGGGCTCCCTCTCTAAGCCGCCTTCGTCGGCAGCCGATGCATTACGACGGTTCTTTGGTGGAAGCATGCGCGCCGACTACCAGCGGGCACGGTCAGTAGATGCTCAAAGGCGGGAAGACAATGGAATAGGAAATGCGCACCAGCTGAGAGAGATCATGTTGCTTTTGCCAGGATGCCGACACGGCTGAGAAGCCACACGTGAACGGGCTGCGCATTGGAGGGGTATGCGCCTATCGCATTGGAGGCCAAACTGCGCCTCGTTCAATCAACCTTGGAAGAGTGCGCATCCCGAGACTCATCAACCCCCATGTCTTTTGAGACTCATCTTTCACACCATGTCCGGTATCGAAATCGCAGGTCTAGTTTTCGGTGTTGTGCCCATTGTTGTCGAGATTCTGAAGTCATACGGCACAGCCAAGCGCACATTGGCGACCTTCTCACGACACGCGGAAGTTGCATACGACATCCAGCTGAGATTCGAAGTAGCAGCAGCGAACTTTAGCAACGAATGCCGCCATCTGCTGCAGGCTGCCATCGCCCATCCGAGCGATGTCTCTGAGATGATGGAGGATCCGACCCACAGGAGCTGGCAGGAACAAAGAAAGGAGATCGAACAGCGGCTGCGAGATTTGATGCAGCACGATTACGAGCTATGCGAGAGCATCGCGACGCGACAACGCGATATTCTCCGTGAGACACGGAACAGCCTGTCCAAGCTCGAGAATAGCCTGGGTAACGCAAAACAGTCCCAACACGAGTTCGCACGGAAGCTTTGGAACGCGTTCAATACAGCTCGCAAGGAGAACGAGTACCTCCGACAGCTTGATTCGTTGGACAGATGGAATAAGTCGCTGGGCAAGTTGTGTAAGCAGAGGCGCAAGATGCAGAAGCGTCGCAATGTTCCTTCGGCTTGCATCATCCGCAAAGCCGTGCCAAGGAGCTACCAGCAGATCCGCGTCGCCTCACAACAATTGGGAGAGTCGATCCATGACTCCTGGTCTTGCACCAACACCTCTCACAGTGGACACCAGGCGAAGTTGTCGCTCGACGCCAAAAGCGAGTACGATAACGTGCAACTCGACGTTGTCATCGCTTGCCAGCCAAAGCCGAATGCGGCATTCCAAAAGTATGTCAGAGCGGATATTCTTCGCGACCCGAAAGGAAGTAGAAGCGCTGTTGACTAACGACGATGTGTAGTCCATCTAGCAACGTCCCAATATGGCTGCAAATTCGGTCCATTACATCCCTCGCGGTGTGTACGGCTCCAACGTTACCTCCACAGGCACTAGCGAACGCGTTTCGTTGTGGGATCAACGACGCGTCGGGAGCTACGACCCCGACGCCGCCCATCAAAGCCAAGTCGAAGAAAAGAGTCCGAATCAATGATCCCAAAGATGACATTAAATGTGTTCGAACAACACCGACAAGCCACACGTTAGCAACACAAGCACAATCTTTCGTCATGCTAGATCTAAAGACAACAAAAAGCGTATGCTGTCATGTAACGAGAGTGCGCTCATCTACATCGGCATGTCAAGATAGCTGCGTGGGGTTTCTTGAAGTCGCGAAGAGTCAGCCAACAACCCGCTTCATGTTCTACGATGCCAGCAAGCTCGCGACCAACGATGTGCCTTCTTGTAACCGGCGACAAGGAGCACTACCGATCAAGAACCTCGTGCAACGCTTCCAGATCCTGCAAAAGATCACACTCGCGCAAAAATTGGCTGAAGCTGTTCTCCAATATCATTCAACCTCTTGGTTGCCGCAAGCATGGACTCTCCAAGATGTAGCATACTTTACGGATCAATCTCAAGCCGACGCCAACAATGTGTCCAATGCACTGGACAGCTTGCATTTGAGCAACCGCTTCCCAGATCCAACCTCGCCGGACAGTGTGTCACAGCAGTCCTCTCTTGATCTGAAGCATAACTTCGGCATCCGCAACTTGACGCTAGCTAAACTCGGCGTCGCGCTACTAGAGATATGTGCTCAGACGGATAGCACGACGCCGCAACTGGAGGGGTCGCCTCAAACCCGTGAGATCATCGCCGCGAGAAAGCTGCTTGATGAACAACATCATTCGATCACGACTTTAGGCTCGCGGTACCTGCAAGTCGTGCGCAAATGTCTATACTGCGACTTCTCCTGTGACGATGACCTCCATGGCGAAGCGCTTCAAAGTGCGGTGTACACCGAGGTCGTGTGTACTTTACAGGATATGGGAACTCAATGGAAGAAAGTGTTCGGTCTTTGAAGGATTACGATGGATGTTCGATGGGATGGACTCGGTGTATAGCGCCTGTGGAAAGCTAAAGAGCGCAAGTTGATAGCCTTCATGGTTGTTTTAAGAAATCGCATCGATCCGTGCCAGTGCTAGGCCAATGTAGCATAATCTGGGCTCCACATGCGCAGGTCGTTGCGAACGACATTATCGAAGAACAGTCAAGCATTACCCTTAAACTACGCCAGATCAAAGACGCACAGAGGTCCAAAGATCTCAGAGGTCAACTTCGCCCGGTGTGGTCGTCTTGGCGATAACTCGGTCGCAAACGTGATGGTCCAAAGCACGACAATGCTCACTCGGCGAAGCTGTCTCTTCCTCATGCATCTCTTATAGAGACACCACGGTCTCTGAAAAGAGCTTTTTGGAAGGCTCTGAGACTACCTCGGCGTACGTTACTGTGGCCGACACGCTCCTGTCCTGCGTCGTTCTTCGTCAGGCAAGAAGGCTAAAGAACGAGCGTATTGACACAGCGTACGTGTAGGCCTGTGTATAGATGAGACATCGTGACTAGAGAACAATGGAATACTTGGTATCGTGGGCTGTAGATCAAACATCTCGGTGATGGCAAGACGAAAGTCGCAACATGCGCAAAGTCTAGGTGCAGCTTTCCATTCCGATTCCGAGCGGAACGATGACGTCGGCAGCTAAGCCACTTTAGGTAACGCGCTCATTCAGCCCCCTCTACCAACCTAGGCAGCACTGAGGTGTGGCCTTGCTAAACGCACCGAGGTCAAAGATGATAGAACGACATATATGACAATAACTTTCCAATAACAACACACAAGCAATGCATAGCTTGTAGTTCGCGCAATATTAAGTGTATTATTGTACATACTTAAGTAAACCTCGACGGGAATGCCTAGGTAGGTAATGTTACGCCCATCAGCGTGTGCTGCGATGAACTAAGAAGGTATAGGGATGACGGAGGCGAAAAAAACGCCGGTCCGGGTAAGTTATAATCCCAGACATCCGGGCATTGAAGAAACAGAAAGATCATGTATGAGATGCCGCATCGGCACCGTATGTACCGTGGTTGACAGCCTATAGGTCGAGCTCGCTGACACCAGGTTCACCATATTCAACGTCTGGATACTCCCAGAGCTCACCGCAATCCGCCCCCTTCTCGATGGTGTTCTGGAAGTGAGATCCCTGCTTAGAGTAGTAGATTTGATCCTGTCTGGCTGTCGAACCTTCTTGTAGTCCGTCTTTCGCCACCAGTGAAGTATCCTGGGGTTGTAGCGAGGTGGTCGAGGGGACCATGTGCTCGAACCATACATGCATTGCCAGATCTCGACCGTGAGAAAACGATGTGGTGGTGATGGAGACGATGCCTGGTGATAGCCTCCTCTTCTCACACGCGGGGCATTTGTAGCCATCAGGCGTTTCGTAATCTTCCAGGTGGGTCTCGAAGTGTATTCCGAACTCCTTCTTCGACCTCCAGTATCGGTGTTTTCGCTCCTGACATCTGCCTCCGTCACCCAGGCATCCGTATACACGAGCCGACGGCTTGTTGATAGTCGCATCCACCGCATCCTTCATCTTTGCTCGCTTGCTCCCTTGGCTTCCGGTCGCGTGCGTGGGAGAATGGTCAAGCCTTTCCTCGAGAGGTTCACGCTTAATCGTCGGGGGATCCCCAGCGATGGCAGGTCTTGAATAAGCCACTGACGTGTATTAGCATGATGGTGTTGGAATTAGAAATCCGCCATATACATACCGATATTCTCAACTCTCTTTGTAAGTTCTTCCGATGGTATCTCCGCCATAATGGCAAGATCATGGAGATTTCCGGAAAGGGTCATCATTTTGATGGTTTCAACATAATCAGGTATGTTTTTAGGGTCATTACCCCTTCTCAGGAAGTCATATATGGCCTGGTTCTGCCTCTGCGTCGTGGTAGCCTCCGTAGATTGCGGGTACAGAGGTGGAACCGGCCCGAGGTGGAGATTCTCAGCCAAGCTCGAATGAATGCCCCCGGTCTGGTTGGGTTCGTATGTTTCGGCAGTTCCATGCACCGAAGATGTATGCAAGTATTGACTCGTTGGGAACCGCCGTGTTGCAAGTCCGACTTTGTCATCGCTATGACCTGGGATCATACGTCCCATTGTCGAAAGGGCTTTGACTGTGACTGAGTTGTCATCATAGGCTGTTTCGTGTCCGTACGTACTGCTATGAGAGGATGCAGCAGAGTAACAATGAGGTGCCTGGGAGTCACTACCAGGCCGATGGGATAGTTCAGGTTCAGCCATGAAAGCAAAGATCCTGCCCGATATATGGTGGTAGATGTCGAAAGCGAAGGGAAAAGGTATGCAGCACGGTCCAAGAAGGTTGGTATCCAGGCAGGGCCACGGGGAGATGTAGACGTTGGCGGATTAGGATGGTGGCGAGTGAAGAATAGGCCGTATGTTCATATATGTCCTGATTTTATGGAGGAAGACCATATATATAGGGCGGACTATCTGCGTCAGGACCGACCGAGCCATTGAATGGAATGAAAGTGTTGTAATTGATAGCAGAATTGTATGGAGGCTCTTGCATCGAGCCCGAAGCCGCTGCGGCGCACTATCGATCGGATGGTTTCTGAAATGTTTCATGAGTACGGATCCCGGATAATGCTTCAGTACGAGCCTTGTATTCAACACCAATTCTATGACTCGATGCTGACAATGGATATGCATTACCACATGAGGCGAGCTGTTGACTTTGTATATGTGAGAGGGTTGGTAGCTGATGTGGAAAGATTTCATCTGATGCGGCCATGTCTCGTTTGAAACTCGACCCTGACGCCATGGACGAAGTTGTGGCTTGGCTAGGTACTGGAGGACACAGGGCGTTCGGATGTTGCGTTGGCGAGCGTCCATAGGTAGGTAAGCGAAATTGGTTTGCGGTCGACTGTTCCTTACCACAGCCAACCGAGGCGGACAGCCTGGGGTATGCTGGCCTGCGCGAGCGCCAGAACACTGCTGTCGAAACTTTTGTTTACAGTCTTTGCGCGGATTGCGCAACTATCCGAGTTTATGCGCATCCGAAAGCTTCTTGTTGGAAGCCTCCAGGGCTCGCTCGGAAAGCACCTGGGCACCTGGGCATGCTTTCCAAGGTTATCCGTACACGCACCGGACCCTGGCCCTGACAGATTACACGTGCTGCGCAGAGCTATCCGCAAATACTAGACCCGATTTAGCCTGGATCCACATGCCCTTTTAGGCCTTACAACTTTTACAGCGTAAGCAATCCAAGGATTAAGGCTGCAGAGGACCGCCCTGGCGGTGTGACGGCGAGCGAACAGACCTCGGGAATGCGCGAAAGGGGGGCCGGGCACGATCAAGATGGCAATGAACGTACGATGCCTGCGGCTGGATCAGATCTTGAATGCCATGCGCAGTGACATGCAAGGCAAATGTAGTCTGCTTCTCGCGGTCTTCTTTATCAGATTCGTTTGATCTTCGAGCGCATTCTCAGCTGCACGATATCTGGATAGACCCAATAGACTTGCCATAAAGCATAGACGGTCGTTGATTACGGCTTCACAAAGCCAAACAGTTACCGGCGGATGATCACTTAAAGCAAGTACAAGTGCGGGCAGTGGAGATGACAGCTGCAACTCCCGCCCCAGGCCCTTGTAGCGCTTGCAGTCTGGATGAGCGATGCGCACGAAGCAACCTGCACGCACACCGCAAAGATTAGAGTTTAGTCCCGCCGTCTCTTAATTTTCCGCTTTGGCCTTGTGTGCCTGCCACGACCCATTAGTAGCCGAGATCACGTGCGACGGCAGCGACGATCATCCACGGGTCTCACGTCCTGCTACATAGTGCCGAAATTCAGGACGAACGTGGCTTACTAGAAGCCCGATTTTGCCGGTCCCTTTCTCAGCCCTACCTAGGTAAACTTCACACATCTCGTTCCAAACACCTTCCAAGCCGGCATTTCGTCATCTTACCAAAATGGGATGCTTCGAGAACACTTGGCAAGAAGAAGATCACGTTGCGTCGCCAGATGCAGCTGGATTACAGTGTGATAGACAGAACATGCGCCAATACTTTTTCCCATGGCAACATACTTGTTGCAAATGCTTCACATTCTACTCGATCATATCACAGTCGTGTCTGTGCCTTTATGTCTTCATTGAGAGCTGGAGTAGTTCAACCTTTCTCCAAGACCCTGCGTTCCACGGCATGCCCCTCGTATATCCTCTTCTACTATTCCATGACCATTTCCGTCTCCATCAGATCATCCCCCTCCTCTACACCCTCATCTCTTCCCTTCCCTACAGCTTGCTTAACCCCCTCTTCCGCAACCCCATCTCCGTCATCGATCACCCCTTCACCCGCCCTCTCCTGCATAATCCGCTCCTCTTCCTCCCTGGTCACTCTCACACTAATATCAGGAACAAGCACCTCTCCTTCCTTCCTGCGCCTGAAAATCTGCACTTTCCCTCCCTCTCCGTCTTCCAGTTCGGGCTTCGGTGCGGCCTTTTCTCTCTTCCTTCCTTTCCTCTTGCTCTTTCCCGCTTTTTCTTCTTGTTCTTCGACTTTCTCGTCCCGGAAACGTTTCTCCAGCTCATCCATGAATAGTGGGAAGTTCACTATATTATGCTTTGCTTGCGCTTCGTCGTATGTACCGTACCCGTCTTTGTAGTCGTGCGTCCAGGTGTCGTGGTGATATCCGGTGTTCCAGCGGTCGGGTGGGAAGTAGACGTGGAATTCCTTGTACCACAGAACCTCCCAGGTCTGAGGCATACTGGGTTCCTTCTTACTCGTGTCGCCTCCAGTGGTTTTCTTGTTCGCCTTGTTCGCCTTGCTCTTCGTTTTCTTCCCTTCTGTGGTAGCGGTGCTGCTATCTGTGGTCTTCGGCCGCTTCTTCTGAACCGTCGCACCGCAGTCATTGAAACGCAGCGTGTAGCCGTGCTTGAAACGGTAGTATTCGACATAGGGAAGTGGGTCGCCGTCCTGTTCTTTGAGGTAAAGGACAAGGTCGTCGGATTTCTTCTTTTCGCGGATCACTTGTAGGGTGCTTTGAGAGCCGAATGTTAGCTTTGCGTTGGATGAATGGTGCTCGTGGACGTATAGGAATGGTACTAGAGCTTGATTAGCATCGTGCCGTCTCCGCGAAGAGGTATCAGATGGCAGTGTATAGTACTCACCGTCGCTGGTGTCTCCAGAGTCAGCACCGGATGGATCAGCAGGACCAGATAAGTCGATGAATGGGCGTCCTTTATCCTGGTCGTCACCCCCATTGCGCTCTGAAGCAGAGCTCACCATGATACCGAGCTTCTTCCTGCGTGCATCCTCCTCACCTGATTGAGTGGCAGAAGGGGGAATCGGTTTGGCAAGCTCCTCCTCGGACTCATCCGGTGCACTCAGCTCCCTCATATAATTTGGAATGTGTTGGTCAACACTCTCCATTGGATGTATGTAAATAGTGGTCTGTTGGCACCCAGGTGGGCTATGATGCACCGCAAGCGTCTGCTCTAGCTGTGCGGGTATAGCAAGAACGTTGTGGGGACCATTGGTGGTCAAAAGGGCCTGGTATTTCGGCATGCGAATAGTGTCCGGTGTCCGGTCCCATGTAGAGTCCCATACCGGGTAGATGCGGTTGTCCTTCTCGCCGTATCTGACTACCGACGTTTGACCGTTGTCGTTCTTGGGGTCGATGGCAATGTACAGTCCTGGGACCTTGTGTACAAAATACTTTGTGAAATCACCTTTTTCATCCTGAACGCTTGCGTTGTTGGTGTCCGCCATACTCAGATGGTGAAAGTGGAAAGTGGTCGTATTGTGAACGTCAAAAAGGCTGCGCGGAGGTCTCTATATCTTGTAAGTATAGTGAGAAGCTTGCTCAAATCCCTCGTGACGTTTGAGCATGATCACACCTCATGATCCTAGATCCTTAGTAACAATTGACGAGACTTTAACGAAACGCAGAAAAGTTCTTCTCGCTGCAAATGTCGATTATGGTCGTATTAAGTACGGTCGTCGAGTAGTTACATACTGTTCCGTTCCTTCATTTCAATAGCTTGTAGCCATCATTTCTGTCTTGGCGTTTCGCGAGCAGCGTTGAGCTTCGAAAGCACCGGAAGCGTAGACTGAGGTCGAAGACGTGTGGAAATGGCCCAAACACCTCGTGTAAGGTACGACGGGATCGCGCGTCATGCGCCAGTAATCGCAAGACGCGGCTGGCGTTGCGTCCAAAGATCGGCCTTCGAAATCCTCATACGTCGGCTCGATCGTAGCGCCGCAGGGTCTCTGCGCAGGATTCCTTCCATTACTCTGCGTCGCAATGCGGCATGTTTCTGCCAACACATCCATGACCCCTCCAACCCATGGCGTATATGCCGACAACCTGCACAATATATACAATAGCGTGCCATCTCAAAAACGCCTTTGGGGTATCAAACGCCGTACAATGCCGTAAAATCGTGCAGGAAAGATGTTCATATCGTCGTCCATTACGTCGCGATAGACCCGCTCAAGGATTCGAATGAACGAAACGTGCGCCCTGGCATGGCGAGCGAGCCTGCTTGAAAGCTTTTATCCTGCCTAGCATCCACCCAGACACCCAGCTACGCTCGCCTTCGCGGCTTTGGTGGTGGCCTAATCGGATGGAGTATCCGAGGCGGCATTCGATGCCGTCGTGTTCGAACTGGAGACAGCGGCCGTCTTTCGCACAAGCCCGTTGGCATTTGTCGAAGGACTTGGAGGCTGTCTTGCCTTTTCGGTATGTGACGTCTTCGGACATGTTGGACCAGTCTTCGGCCCTCTCCTGCAAGTGTGGCTCGATCATCGTAAAGAGCTCTTCGAACATGAGCGGCCGTTCAGGATGCGATCGCGCTTGCTCCCATTGGGAGAGTCGTGTGAAGTCGTCTTCACCGAGATGGTGCATCGTCATGATGGCTTCGCACCACTGCTCGTTGTCGAAGCGCATGCTGAAGGGCTTCTCGCCGTTGAACATGGGCCAGTATCCGCGGAGGGAGACTCCGCTCTTCTTCAGCACCTGCGCTAGCATCTCGTCTCCGCAGCATTGCTTCTTGACGTCGACGCCGAAGAAGTGTGTCCCGGGGAAGTGCTTGTTCTCGCCAAACATCCTGCCCAGCGCCATGATCTTGTCCAGCGCCGCGCGCGATAGCACGAAGCCAGTCCCTCCATGTGCAAAGGTGGTCTTCTTCTTGGGCCAAACGGGGGATCCGAAATAGTGGGCCGTCTTGGGGTTGAAATTGGAGAGGAAGCGGTAGAGGTTGTCGTAGTTGACGTAGGTGTCGAGTTCCAGGAAAACATACCACTCCGACTCGGGCCGCATGTATGACGTCCACTCCATCATGGGCAGGAACTTGTACTTGTCCAGCCGCCACCCCTCCTCCGTCTTGTCCTGGGTGCTGTTCGTGGCCTGTATGCGGTCGTATACGTCAAAGTCGGGGTTGTTGAACTTGTACTCCGGGCGCAGGTGGGCGAGGGCGTCGGCAATCTCGAAGCCGTTGAGCGAGTCCTTGCGGTCCGAGAAGATGAGCAGGTCCTGCTTGCACCTTCCCAATCGATTGAGATATAGCGGCAGCTGGGTCGCGACTTCCCCGGCGCCAATCTTCAGGACTATCGTGACGCGCTCCATGACGCCGGCGGTGAAGGGCGAGCACTCCTCACCAAAGTGCACCGGAGCGACGGGCGCGGGCCCAGCGGGAGGGGGCCGCTCCTGCAGTATGTCGTAGCCGCGCTCGCCCCGCCATAGCCGGAAGACGAGCGACGTGAAGAGGAAGGTCACGAGGGTTATGGCGACGCACAAGAGGCGCAACGGCGTCAATCGCACCCTCATGGTGGTGGTGGTGCGAGACTGAGTCCGTCATGTTTGCATGAGCGGGCCTGGCGCGCGCAAATTGGCGCTAGTCCCAGCTCCAACCCGGCTAGCCGGCCGTTCTATGCGCGCCTCCGCGGGCGGCCTCGAACGTCTCTTCATCCGACATCACCACATCACAACATCACAACATCACACTCACAAGCATCATGGTAACACCGACTCTGGCTACAGCCCACGAAGATACAACACACCTTAGTCATTGGTACCTCATTACGCTTTCTAAATAGCCATCTTGACCTGCCAGTCTTCATCCCCGCCAGACACCCGGAACTCAAGCGAGCTAATCTTTTCTCCATCAATTCCACCCCGGAGACGCAGACGCGTTAATATCCCTCCAAAGTAGTCCACCCGGTTCCGATTGCCGCACGATACGTAGCGCGCAGCCTCTGGCTTCATAACTAATGTCAACACCCAATCCATCGCGTGCCTACGCACACTAGATGGAGTATGACACGACACTGGCTGTGCGCGTAGGGTAAGAGCATCCATATCCTTCAGCCACAAACCGAGTTCTAAGAGCGACGGAACATAATCAATCGCCTCAAAAAGACTAATCGGCCTGTTCTCAATAAAGACTTCGGCCTTGGGGTGACAACGCAGCCACTCGCCTAGCCATTTGAGGTCGACACTGGTGTTTGATCCCCAGCCGTGATCGCGACTGAGTCCGACGAGTAACTTACAGGCGGGAAGTGGAGCAAAGACCGACGTATCACTATAGAATGTCCGGAGGAAGCGTTCTACTAGCACAAAGTGGATACGAGTCCTGACGGAGCCAAAGTACAAAGGCATGTACTCCGACCGAGTGGTTCGGCATGCATTGCCAAAACCGACCGCTGTCGACAGTCCGACGCCTGAGAGGCAGTAACCATATATCCGGTTACGTAGTTCTGGAACAATGATTAGCAAAGTGCCGGCAAGCTCATCGTCATCACCTACCACCGGGAAGATCTAGGAAGCTTTTGGGTTTCGAGATGTCTGAGGTCTTCGTGTGTGAGCAGTGCGCGTTCATTGATTCAAGAGCGGTGCTCGAAGGCCTGTTGCCCGACATTTCCATGCCGTCAGGTACGATGCTACTGTTATCTAAGGATTTGCAAACGTGCGTGGTCGATTTGGAATGAAGAGTTAAGAGGTATGCGGTTGAAGGTACGGAAGCACGTTTCCAGGTTGTCGCCCTCGGAGAGTGTCATTATATCAGCGATGTGCACAACACACAGCTTTCAACAATGCCTTTCACCCGGCCTTTCGTCAATTGGGTGTCGAATGAATGGGAAGTGTCGGCTTCACACTTCCAGTACCGCTTCACAGCCTGGATTGCACTGTACAAGAACCTCTTCGAGAGTCTGTGTACTTGCAACCCTCTTATACTTTCACTAATCCAATGGCATTACAGACCTGATTGGCCGCGGGTACGGCGAGTCTATACCTACCTTGTCGTCGCTCCAAAGTTTGCAAGGGGCGAAGTTCTCTGCGCATCGCCACGCTGCCTACAAATCGCGGCGCCAATCCTACCTTTACCTACACATACAACTTCTCAACTCGTCACGTACAACCGCTAGACCTACCGAAAGCCTCGAACACAATGGCACCCTCATTCACAGAGTAAGTATATCACAATGCAACATCCTTGACATCTTGCTAACACATTCCAGGATGTTATCTTCCGCGCAGTTCACGTTCCTCCTAGGAGCCACCCGCGAGCCCGTCACCGTCCATGGCGGCATGATGTCAAAGGAATCTGAGCCCTTAGATCGCCTTATCAACGGACCTATGAAGGAAGCACAGGAGAAGTGCGCCGCTCTGCCCCATGTCGATCGCGACGTCTTCCTGGGCCTCGTCGAATACGCATACCGCAGTGACTACAACGTCCTTCCCTGCGAAACTGACCTCAATATTATAGTCGACTCCCATGTCGAAGCTGACATGGAGGCTAGATCGTGCGAGACCTTTGACAGTTGGGTTCCTACAATAAGCGAAGAAGACTATGCCAAAGCAACCACTCCTGAAAAAATGTGGCATATGCCACATTTTTACCCAACACCCTACGAGCGCTTTGTCGTCAAGGAGCAATGTCCATGCTATTATGGAGAAGATTGGGACGAAGTCGCCTCGCACATGAAAGAGCAACACGTGGGCCAAGTAAACTACGAGCACAAAGACGTCTTCCTCTTCCACGCCAAGATGTATTGCCTCGCTGACTACTACCTCATCCCCGCCCTGAAAGCCCTCGCCATATCCAAGCTCCACGTCGCACTACAACTATGCATGGAAGAAAAATTCGTAACAACCCCCGAGCGGGTCGAAGATATCGTCGCCCTGGCTTCTTTTGTCTACAACAGCGACAACACTCAAGACCACGATACCCCTTCGAAGCGTGATGCCCTGCGAGAGGAGATATTGGGTTACATCATGGCTCAGATCCAACACCTGGAGCTGCAACCTGCGTTTCAGAAGACGCTAGGTGGCGAGGGTCAACTGGCGATTGATGTGGTTTCTTCTCTCAGGAAGGGGCTGAGCGAAGGGACGGAGAGGATTAAGGCTGCTATTGCATATCGGGAACGGATGGAGGAACAACGTTTAGGACGAGGAGGCTATTACGCCCTACAAGCGAAGTTCGATAGATAGTAAGGTTATGGAGTAGGTCGAATGACTATTTCCTCTTCATTAGTCCTGTAGCTGCTTAGCTACCTCCAAGGTTTGCACAGTGACATATGTTAGTCATACGGTATCCTTCCTGCGGCTTCGTCTGTCGTCCCATCAAGCAGGGGTCGGCTCATATCGCACCCTCGGCGTCCGCTCCCTTCGCCGCAACCTCCCCCTTCTCCTTCCCTTCTTCCTTTCCCCCCTCCTCCACCATCTCCTCCCCCTCCTTCTTCCCCCCATCCTTCCCCTTCGGCCACCTAATCATATTCCACTCCCCACCACACCCTACAAACCCCGCATGCAAATACACCGCCCTCGCACTCGGCCTACTCTCCAAATACACAACCTCCCCCTCTGCATCCGCCTGCCCCAACGCCCACTCCATCAACCTCTTCCCCACACCCCTCCCTTGCCACTCCGGCCACGTAAGTAGTGGCGCGAGATACCAATGCCGTTGCCCACCCGTCGCCTCCCTCCTTACCTCATCGTCTTTGGCGAAGCGCTCACTCCAGTTCTCGCTAGAGACGTGCGACCACATGAGATCGAGATCTGCGTCGGTCCAGTTTTGCGTCTCGGCCCAGGAGTAATGTGTGGCGGCGCTGCGACGGAAGAGGTTGTGCACCGAGGGGTTGGTGGGGAGCGTCCAGCCTGCTATTCCGATTGTTTCGCCTGTGGGAGTGTAGATGGCTTTCATGAAGCAATGGTGGGGGTCGGTTATGGCGGGGGTTAGTCGTTGGGCCATGCGTTGGATACGGATGGCGAGGCTGTTTTCGCCTGCTGGGCGGATCTCTGGGGGCTCTTTTTTGGCCCACCAGTCATCTGGGAAGCACAGGTAGAGACCTTCGGCCTGGGTGGGGGTGTTAGTTTGATGGGGTTTATGGGTGGGAAGGTCAGATGGGTTGGGTGCTGGATGAACTCACGATCTTCTCAGCATCATCAGGCGTGCATTTCTCGATACGCAACTCCGATTCTGACAACCGCCTTGAAGGCTCTACGGGCATTGTCTGGAAGCCATCTGAGTTATCCGTCGGCACTTTGATGAACTCTGCTTTTTGCCCTGCCATGCTTGCGAGTGTTGTGGTCGAAGTCCTTAACGTCGAGGCATGCGCAAGATGAGGAGTGACAACGGCATTGAGCTACCTAGGCAGGCAGGCGCCCTTCAACACACTTATGTAGATACCAGAACAGTAGACCTGCGTGATGGTAGTAGCACTACGCCCCTTCTTAGCGCTTACTCGCGCGAAATTATCCGACGGAATGCTCAAATGCTCGCAATTAATCGACTCATCCTTGCGCATGTGCGTCGGAGTAGACACCGACCGAGAGCGCTTGAGGAGAGGGCGAACGCGATGTCACGCGTTACCTGAAGAGGGTTAGTCGCGGACGTCATTGTTCCGCTCGGAGACGGAATGGAACGCGGCACCTGGGTGTAACAACATCACGACTTTGACACTATTATTGGCCTTACGCTGAAGCTACAGTTTACAGCATTATGGATGTTGCTCGTCGATTTCTTGAGATTCTCGAAGATTCAACGCGACATCGCGTCCGTCACACTGGCGGGGAAGATGATCACCAATGTCATCCAGTGTTTGTCGTCCGTTATCAGGCTCTCTGCTGATCAACAACAAACATCTTCAAGCGTCAGAAATGACCTTAGCAAGCTTCTGATCGTGATAGCAGTACATAAAGCTCGTCTTCTCAGGAGGCCGATGCCGGTCCTACCACTTCGATCATTCTCGCCAACGTCGATATGGACACTAAACACCATACTGACCACACTGAAGAGAACCCCGAACTGACCGAACAGCAATCAGACGTGACCGCCTCCGAAGACTTCTTTCAGCATGCCAATAAAAGTGAAGAGGAAGAAGACGGCGACGCAGCGATTGCCTCTGCACCCGCTATCACTGCGCCTGTAGATATGGACAACCGTGAGTAGACTGGAGTACATACATAACATCACGGTGAGGTACTAACCATCCTCAGCGCTACTCCTTCACGTACACGAGCATCATACAAGCCACGCCACCCTTACCCTCGACGAGGAAACCATGTTACTATACCTCAACCCCACACAAGGCACCTCAACCCGGAAGACCATCCATTTCAGAGGCAGGGGCGGTGAAGACCCACTCGTCATCAAATGCTACCCTTTCAAAGAAGGCCTCACCCTCCGTTTTGTCGATTGCGATCTCTGGACTACAACCGGCCGGGGAGATGATAAAAGATGGCATAATTACAAGGAATACCATGTCCATCTTCCGCAGGACATATGGCATGCAGGTTTCTCTCATGAAGTCATGACTGGTCGTGAGAGAAGGGCGTATGGTCCGCATAACCCACAGCAGGCAGAATACAACGCTGGTGTCTTTCCCCGGTTTATGGATGCATTAGAGAGAATGGTGGGAGCGGAGAATATGATGAGGTGCAAGAAAGTTGGCGATGAGTTAGTAGATGATGATGCGGAGGAGGAAGACAGTGATGGAGACGTTGAATAGGTTGAGAAAGAGGGAGAAGATCTGCTAGAACAGTAGGTTTGAACATACGGCCTTTGCAATTGTTTGTACTGGTAAGACTATCGCAATCATGTCCAAGCTGAAAAGCAGGTTTGTGCAAGCTGTGCGCCGTACTCACGACATAAGAGGCTCGCCTTGTCGCCTAGTTCATGCTGGTCAGTCCGCCCCAACCAGAATTTACCCTATCAGTATGGAGAACCCCGAACAAAACACTATCGAGCACGAGGATGCCGAGCATCAAACCGCCGAACGTATTGGCGCCGAACGTCAGACCACCGAACCGGATACCACTCAAGATGCCAAAACAAAAGGCCCAGAAGAAGGCGCCAAAGATGAGTACTGGCTACATGACAACATCGCCGGACTCTACATCACGATGAACCCAGCAAACGTCCACGGCCGCACCACGGTGATCAGACATGCCGGTAGCGAGGACTTCTTAGTGTGGGACTCTTCATGGGACCAGACCCGGCCATTCGCTGAGATGACAGTGGAGGTAGCCCGGAACGCGGCTCATTCTGCCCTGGGCGTTGTAACCAATTACGAGAACTTGAATCAACCGATTACAGTCTATCATGCCCCGGTCAAGGGTATACCTAGCATCATGCGATCCGAGCCTAAAAGCGCGCGTCTTGGGTTTGTTCAGGAGTACGCGAAGGCACACGATCCAGCGCGGGTGACTGAAGATGACTTCAAGAGGCCTATTCCGGCAGCTAGAGTGGGCGATAACGTTAACCCGATAGTCACTGGCGACTCAACGTCCGGCAGCACCGGTGTTGTAGCTTCAGGTTTGGATGACTGTAAGTACTCTATACCGCATCAGCAAGTTGGCAAGACAAAGCTAACATCATATCAGCGTTATTCCTCTATGCTCACGAGCACAATGCAAGCTGGGTCACTCTGATCCTCGACTTACAAGACCCGAGCGCACCAAAGATGCAGCTAGGCAAGAACAGACGCGTCGATCTTCTGCAGCAAGACGATACCGATGAGCCCTTTCATATCGAATACTACGCCTTTAAACACGGATATACCCTGCGTCTCAACAATTGCGGCCATACTACACAGATCAGAGGAGGCCCTATAGAAGGGAAAATCTTCAAAGGTAAGAGCACGAAGAGCAGCAGAGCGACAATCAAGTGGAAAGAGTTTCACCTGCATCTACCCTTTGATCGTTGGCATGCTCCGTGCAAGCATGACACGTGGGAAGGAAAGTACAATGGTAGGGCGCAGGGTATGCACAACGAAGACTATGCGAAACACAATGTGGTCATGTTTCCGAGGTTTATGGATAAGCTAGAGAAGATTATCGGGGAAGGACGTATATGGATGAGCACGCAGAGTGACGGAGAGCTTGATGACATTGACGCAGAAGACGAGGAGGAGATTGACGAGGAAGGTGAGGAGAGCGGTGAGGAGGATGATGGTGGGGAAGCTGCTTTGGAAGGTGGCAATGGAGGTAGTGAGTAGAGTACAGTAGACAACGAGAACATATGCGATGCTATATGGAGGAAGGATGCGCGTTCATGAAGACATTGGCGTCTGACAAGATTCACGTGATATTGCAGTAGGCCCTTGGGGCACATACTGGTTACGGCCAGGTCTTCATCACCCAAGACGTGCGCGAACGATGTCAGGCTAGGCCTTGATATTTCCGCATGCCATTCCCGAAAACAAAACTGCATTGTAATCACGACAGATTGATGTTTTGTAAAACCAATTACGGTAGTAGAGTATATTGATGGAACGCAGAGCCGTGATAAGATTGAAAGGGCTGGCGAGCACTATACCAAGGACAACGATGCCTTCCAAAATCCCAAGCTTCGATACAGGATGATACCTTGGCAGCTTTTTACGCCCATGGTAGAGGCTCCAGAGGAGAATGAGGAGAATGAGGAGGATGAGGAGGAGGCTGAAGAGGTTGAAGAGGTTGAAGAGGTTGAAGAGGCTGAAGAGGCTGAAGGTAAGACAGCTCGAGTGCCTCATCCTTCCATCGCTGACGAAGACGTAGCAGAGTCCAGTGAAGAGGGAAACGACGAGGTCGAGACCACAAAGGTATGCGTCCGTCGGCATGGCACAAAATCATACTACCTCATCATCAAGGACGGCAAGCTCTTTCTCGTCCCCTTCGACCACGCGCCAGACTGGGATCGCATGCTGAGAGAGAAGCCAAAGGTCTCCGGTAAGCTGCTCAGGTTCAGCAACCAATGTAAGTCGTACCAGATCCCGTGTCTTCAAACGTCGCTAAAAGTTTCCAAAGCCAGCGTTGAGGTCTCCCAGTTTCCCAAGGGCTACGCCATCCACATGGTCAACTGTGGTCTCAAATCCAAGAAGAAGAAGGCGAATACTGCAGTCGGAGACCCAAAACGAGAGGCGGTGGATGACAATACTTTCTACCTCCTGCACCCAGCGACGAACACTCTTACCCACCGCGATTACAAAATGTTCACGAACAGGCAGGGTAACACGGTCGTAGAGGGGAAGAACTACCCACAGTGGCACGCTGGCATTGCCCAGCATAATGCGAATGTGTTGGAGAAGTTCCTCGATGAGTTGAAGGCCCTGGTGACGAACGCTGCCGGCTCATGGACCGACAACAGGCATTGGTCGCGACATCGTAGGCATTGATCGCGACATCGTGGTGGTGCGGAGATTCTAAGGGGCCGGCGAGGTGGACATGAAAAGAGGATCGTGGGTGTTTTGGCATGTATCCAGTCATCAACTCTTGTTAAAGCATGCGCGATCAAATTACAGTAAAAGTGTAAACGTGAATCGCGTCGCAAAGTCCAGAAGACAGGCAGCAGCAGGTCCAGGTCTTGTGCTTGAGCTACCCCCTGACGAGCCCGCCCCACCGCCAAGCCCCGGCTCCACAAAATACCCGTCCTGTACCTCGGTGAAATTCCCCGAACACCAACATATTACCATTACCCAATTCCGCATCTTCCCAACACAACCGCATCCCTTCGAAACTGTGCCATGCGCTTGCCGATCCGTTGAATGGAACTTGACGCCGAAGTTGCCTAGACAGGTAGGTAATGTGATAGCAAGGGGATGGAGGTGTGAGTTACTGAGGAAGATGCTCCGTGGCCAATGAGCGGGAGGGATGGGTATGGGAGCTAGGGTGAATGGGGAGTAGTGGTGGAAGAGGGGAGTACCTAGGTACTGTGGCATATGGGGTATGGGGTGTTATTGGTGGCCGTGCTGTGACGGTGGATGAGGAGCTTATCGATGGTTGGATTTATATAGGAACGTACTTTTGCGTATATATGAGGCTTGCGACGTGCGTAGATCATGGCCATGGCCGCATACATGTTCAGCGTACCTACTTAGGTAGAGACGTCACATGGCACGATTCTGGCCAGGTGCCCAGGTGCTATCACAAGGGCGCCTCGATTACTCCACCAATGAAGGGTAAGCGCAATGCTGAACAAAGATGATTTTCAAAATGCGAAGATATGTATTCTACTATTACAACGATGGGAACTACATGCGATGCGGGAATATGTGATGCAGGGGTATTGTGTTGCCAAAAAACGCCAAATGGACTGTGCTGGGCCGGAGCCGAATGATGTGATGCGAACGCCCAAAACTACCGATGATATGCCGGGGGGTATCTTACTACAAGACTATCGAGAGAATGCGGAGAAGAAAAGGAAACAGTCGCTACACGATGTGCGATAATGCGATACTGCGCCACCTCTTGGTCTATTGTCGACTCTGCCTGTTCACTATAACCAGGTGCAGTAGCCATGCGTGGCTTGAGTGAGATGCGAGATGCAATGCTTGGGAACGAGCATATCAACGACGCGACCGTCTCCGACCACTCGATTCACCACTCCGATTGCTTGGTCTAGCTGAGGCCTGCGAACTGCTTACGCAATCCCAATTGAAAGGTATCTGCGATGTCGGGATGGTAACGCCCTCATACCTTCGCAGCCTCTCTCGTCGCGGAGGTGGGGAGGGTTGCGCAAATGCTTCTTGTCGGACTTCCTCAAGCGCCTGGTTGGTAGCGGCGAGTACAGCGAACCGTCTGTCAGGCACGCGACGAGCAGTTGTGTTTGGTGTGCGAGAACGCGCTTGGCGCGGAGAAGAAGCTGACTGGTCGTGCTGACGAGAACGGTGGTGGCGGTTCTGAGATCGTGATGACTCTGGACTTGTCTGGGATGCAGTCGAGGAGCGATGCTGGCGGGACGAGCGGTTGCTACGGGGCGAAGAATCCAAGGTTTGGTAACCGCGATGTTCGCGCTTGGGTGTCTTTGGCGGGGAGGGCGCAAAGAGTGACCACCCCCGAGAAGGTTCTGGTCGGACGTTCTTCTTCGATTTTGAATGTCTCACAGGGTCGCGCTTTGCTCCGCGCCCGCGCAGAGTGCTTTGCGACGTTTGCTTTGGGTGCTGCCGCCGACGGTGTTGACTTCGGTGGGGGCGTGGGTTCAGCAGAGCCTCCTGCGATGAGTTGACGCTACTTGGCTCAGCTGCACGGCGATAGACCTGCGGCACTTCGACGTCCAGTGTCGAGCGGCGTCTCTCGCGAGTCCGGTATGCATCTTCGTACTGGTGTTGCGATCGCGGTCGGTGCTCCTCCCTCTCTCTTTCGTGGCGCGGTGACCGCGGAGATCGCGGGGTAGAGTCACCAGATCTTCTTCGTCTGCTCGAGTCTTTGGAACTGCGCTTCTCTGAATATTCTGCAGCGACTGGCCTTCCCTCACCATGAAGCGCGCTATCCGCCGGTCGGTCCCGCCTCTTTTTCTCGTCCGACGACGACGAGTCCTTACGCTTTTTGTTGCCTGGAAAGCCAAAGTTGAAGGACCAACACATGGCGATCAAGATGCAAGTCTCGGATCGCTATGCGCCTAAGGTTCAAGTCCAGTGTCCAGGTTCTGAAGAGGTGATGACTGCATGCATGCAGATGCCGAAGTTCGGAAAGCTAAATTCGACGATGGGGGACGCGGGTGATACTTAAGACGCGCGACACAAGCCAATAGACAGGAACAATCTAGCGTTTCAAGGGAAGGAGACTTGAGAGAAGCGGATTGAGAATTATGATATCATGTGAAGACAAAGAGTGTTCCGGCCGGGCAAGGGAGCAAGTGCACCGCAGTCGCGGCGTGGAGGCCAAATTCCAATAGACGCATGGCCATAAGCTAAATCAAGAAAGGATTCAGTCAAAGTACCTTGTATCGAGGGTTTGCGCTCCAATCAGGGCACAGCCCACTTGATGGTGTGCGAGAAAGTGACTGATTCGTAAGTTTGCACACAGTGGCTTACTGGGCCACATGACACCTCGGGCTCCAGCTGATCGCCTCATTGTCTGGCGTACTGCAGATGTCGGTCTGCAGTGAAATGGAGTGTAGAACACTGGAACACCAGCGCAGGGCCGGCTGTCAGTCTTATAAGCTGCAGCGATCTGCCCGCGACGTTTATGCTTCTTTGTGTGCGGCTTCTGTGCGTACCTGCGTCGCTGCTACGTGGCACCTGTGCTGTACAGAAGAGCGGCGGGACGGTTGCGGGACGATCCTGGGTGCAGAGTTCGGCCATGCTGCGAGGGTGATGGGCATCGCTAGCTGCAGCATGGTGCATGATGGTGCAGGTTAGCTGCATGATGATGACCGCCTGACCAGCCGAGCGCTGCAACATGTTGGGTTCCTTATCCTTATCGGCCCATCAGCGACGTCATTGGTGCGAGAGCGCCCCACCGCCGCAAGCGAGCTGTGAATGCTGGCTACGATGCGATGCCTCGCAAGGTTTCAGCCATTCCTCATCATCGCCTTCAAGGGTTGCACGGCCGCGGGAGTGTGCTGTTCCTGCTTTTGCACGTCCTTAGCACAGACGGCGTTCGCGAGACATACGCTCCGCCTCGACGCCTTGCTGCAAGCAGTTCGCGCGCGTCGCGGAGCCTTGGTAGGTCCGAGATAGCTGGCCAATAGTCGCGCGCAGACGCCTTCTCCCAACCAAGTCGTGGCGTTTCCAATGAATCGAGGAACCATTCGGAAGCAAGGCAGAGCAATCTATATTGCAATTGCCGTGACCGACACCATCAGAACGATATCGGCGGCGCCGGAGTATTGAGAGCAGCCTGGGCTGGAACATGTCGCATGCTATACGATGACTCATCCAATGAAGAGATGAAGCTGATCGCCCACAAGAGGTGGGGATGCGGTAGAACCCGAGATCAAGTGCTCTCGACTCGTTCCGATCGCACCTGCACGAGTCCTGTCAGTTCGGTGTCGGGCTGTTGCATGGCGGCTTGGCATGAACTCGCGTCAATGATATGTTGCGTCATACAGGAGAGACTGAAGAGATGATCTGAGAACATCGCGGATGGAATGCGACATGAAGAAAGAGTGATGTCGGAAACATTCCGATGGCCTGCCGAAGGCATCCACCCACGCTATGTAATCACGCTAGTCTTCACCCGTGCCGCGCGCGCATCTTGCGGAAGCTTTACAAGATACGGTGCACTGATGAGCGCAAAGAAGTCGAACGGTCAGAAATGTCATATGCAGGTGAAAAGAATGGATGGTCGAGAGAGAAGCTGAAGCCCCAGGCAGTGCAATGGCTCAGCCACAATGTTGTCGCGACCTAATTGCCCTGCCACGCCGCCTGCATGTTCCTCAACCTTCTTATTCTTGACCAACTCAGCTTGCTACCTTGAATCCGCCTCTTCAGCTGAGAACGAATATCCACCTCGATGAACGGCTTACGAAAGCAAGCGCGAGCGCGATTTCTGTCGGAGCAAAAGTTCAAGCAAGGTGCCGAACTACACGATGCTAGAATTTCGCTATTAACCGTGGCGCAATATACCGAAGCAGAGACAACCGTCAAACTAACCAATGTTCATTGGTCCCAGACTTCTGAGATATGTGACCAGGTCAATACACCTATCCCCAAGAACGTCGACGCGACAGCAACAGCATCTATGCGGCTGATAAGCTTGGAGCGCGATTTCGAAGGAGTCTTTGCCATCGACCGGCGAACCTTTCTGGAGATCTTTGACAACTTCGGGTACGATCCGTACTGGCTTGGCATGATACTGTCTTCGACATACGGGTTCTTTCCTCGACTGAAGGAAGGTGGCACGCAGTATGCTTGCTACCTACATACCGTGTCGTATACGATGCTGTGGACTTACGACCCTCATGCGACGACCACCAAAGCCGTGCTCATACCCCGAGAACATTCCCAGTATCCTCAGCAGATCTTTAAGAGCGTGATAGACACCGTCATTCACCACAAGGATCTTATAAGCGACGCGCGTTTCTGTCCCTTCGTGTGTGCCATACAAACGGTCCGTTGGATCGAAGGCACTGCTTTCGAAAACCTGGGCCGCATTCGATCCATAGAGGTTACCACTGGGCATGGCGCATGGCATGAGGTGCTGCACGACTCTCCTCCAAGTACGGATGAGCTAATGAAGCATTCTAAGCGGCTAGGATTCGTACTTACGGCACTTGCAAATGTCTCCCGGCACGCTTGCATTGTAAGAGCAATCCTCAACGACCTTGTATCAGCCCAACCCTTGTCACCAATTCATTCGACGCTTGCGCAATCTTCGAGCACTCCCAGCGTTCAAATGCCATTGGACGATATCCTTGTCGCTGCATCGATGTTGGAAGGTCAGACGAAATCGGGCGAGCTGCAGGCAGTTTATCTCCAAGAGCGTGGCCGCACGCAGCAGGCTGTAGTAGGTTGAAACAAACAATCCAGGACGTCGCACCAGCAGCTGATTGTGAACTCCAGATATTCAACCTACTCACGCGTGACGATGCTAAAAGTAGCAAGGAGATCGCACTAGCAGCACGAAAGGACAGTTACTCGATGAAGACTATCGCGATCATGACCATGATCTTTCTGCCTCCTACCTTCTTCGCTACTCTTTTCGCTATGCCTTTACTCAAGTGGGACGGGCCAAAGGTCATACAGCCAAGCTTTGGCATCTACTGGGCTGCCTCTCTACCAACTACCGCGGCAGTACTTCTGATCTGGCATTGGATGTCATCAGAGGAGACCATCTTCGTTAAGGGATGGGCGTGGATTAAACCCGGAAGGCTCGAGAGCGACCAGGATGTTGACGTAGATAAGGCTCACAACGACTTGGAAGCGTTTCGCTGGAATGGACTGAGGTACAAGTCGAAGCAATAGGGAGTGGGATACTCGCAGCATTTGTGTATCGACATCCATCAATGAAGAAGGTTCGTTCGGCTCTTCCGCATATCTCCGCGTCTTTATCTCCGGGTGGGGCACCCCGCTGTCGTCATCTCGCGACAACGACGGCAGGCGTGAAGCTCTCCATCATTAATCCTTACTCCGTACTACCGCACAACTCAGACAGAAAGCCAAGATGCCTCTTATCGCGCAGAACCCCAAAGACCGAGTCATCCTCGGCTTGATGACATTCGGTAAGCTTTGAAGATCGACCACCCAACACCATGGCTAATGCATCCCAGGTCCCGACGAGACCAGCGGCGCGCGCATCACAGATTTTGACGAATTTACTAAGCATCTCGACTACTTCCAGTCCCAGGGCTACGATGAGATCGATACGGCGCGCATGTACGTTGGCGGCAAGCAAGAAGCATGGACGCGCCAGGCGGGGTGGAAGGACCGTGGCTTTACTCTCGCCACCAAGGTGTATCCTTATGAGGCTGGTGTTCACAAGCCTGATAGGCTGAAGGAGCATTTCGAGACTAGTCTCAAAGAGCTGGGGGCGGACTGCGTTGACATCTTCTACCTGCACGCGCCGGACCATTCCGTGCCGTTCGAGGAGACACTCGGTGCTGTGAATGAGCTGCACAAGCAGGGGAAGTTTGTCAACTTGGGTCTGTCGAACTTCGCTGCATGGGAAGTCGCAGAGGTGTACAACATCTGCAAGGAGCGGGGTTGGGTGAAGCCGACCATCTACCAGGCGATGTACAACGCAATCAGTGAGTATCTACCTTCTCATGCACATGGCATTGTCTAACCGTGCAAGCTCGCGCCATCGAACCCGAGCTCATCCCAGCGTGCCGCAAATACGGCATCGACATCGTCATCTACAACCCCCTAGCCGGCGGTCTCTTCTCCGGCAAGATCAAATCCAAAGACATCAAGCCCGACGAAGGCCGTTTCGGCACCAAAGCAGACCGCGTCGGAAGCATGTACCGCGACCGCTACTTCAAAGACGCCACGTTCCAGGCTCTGAAGATCGCTGAAGATGCTGCCCAGAAGCATGACTTGACCCTGCTCGAGATCGCGCTGCGGTGGTGCGTTCACCACTCTGAACTGAAGACCAGAGTTAAGGGCGGAAACGACGGTGTTATTATTGGTGTTAGCAGCTTGAAGCAGTTGGAAGGTAATCTGGCGGATCTGGAGAAGGGACCGTTGCCTGATGATGTGGTGAAGGCTTTGGATGAGGCTTGGATGGCTGCTAAGGCTACGGCACCGACTTACTTCCGGTAAAGAAGTGGCATGTGTAGCTTAATCTTATGCGCAACTCTCAACAGTCGTAACAGTCGTAAAATCGGATTTCAATTTGGCGGAGGGCTTCAGATCTCTGCAGGACCTCCGCATAGTTATTGTCAAGCCTTGTTGATACGTTGCTCTGCAAAATGCGGGAGTCTTAAATCTTAGGTTAAGGCTAAGGTGAAGGTGGAAGAGCTTGCGTCAACGCTTTACGACCTACGCTCCAATTCCCGAACTCTGTCCTTCACGCTACCGAACTGCTCATCAACACCTGTACGTTGACCTTCCTCTGCTTCTACATCTGCCGCTCTCTCTTCTCCCTCGTTCGTCTCCTCCTCTTCATCATCTGGAACATCTGGATCTACGACATTTGTATTCGGATTCCGCCTTATGAATTCGCCCATTATATCTCTCGGATGTGGAATCTTCTGACCGAATCCACCATCGGATGGCTTCTCAGGAGGACCTTCAGACATTGCGCTAAAGCTTTGGATATGTTCTTGCTAAGTTCGGGGTAAGCTGGAAGTGTCGGTAGTGTGTGATCAGGGCGGTGGGGCAGGTCAGACGAGAGGCAAGAAAAGCGGTATTTATATGCCAGGTCCAATAGCAGCTGTCGTTCGCTGAATGAGTGTCACTAGTGTAACTGACGGATGCAAACGGCTATGCAGGCCAAGATAGGCCGTTTGAACGTGTTACAACCAACAGTCTTATCATTGTCGCATCACGGCTCGTACAAGTCCATATTATCCTGCTCCCCCGACGCACCACCAGTACACGGCGTCTTAACAAACCCATCATCATCTCCACCCTCGTTTGCCAGTTTTACGCCCGCTCCTTCCACGTCCTTATCGCCAACTCCCGTGGCGCCATCAACATCCTGCTCTTTGACATACGGCGTATCATCAGTCTGCGTTGCCTTCGAGTTGGTAGACTGAGAAGGATCTGGTGTATGAACAGGCTTCTCTCCGTCAGACTTCTTGCGTGACTGCTCGTCCACGTACTGACCCCACAGGTTACGCCTTCTCTTCCGCTCGTTGACGTGTTCGGCAAAGCGTTCTATGTTGTCGGATTCTGATGCCAGAGGCTTAGCCGTAGGCTGTTCGGAAGGTTGTTCTCCGGCCATGTCGATTTTGAACGATGGTTGAATACGTGAGAGAATGTTGGCACATACGAATTTGCGCTGGACTTGAGCGAGGATATATACGTGGTGTTCATGCTACACCGACCCTAGGGAGGATGTCATGCAGGCGTTCATGTATCAAACGCATTCAATACCAACGTTGGCCTCTTCGCTCTGTCTATCTCCGCGCTCGCGTACATACCCCTCTTAGCCGTTTGCATCCCAAGTCTAACAAGACCAACCAGATGATGTACACCGGCCAGCACACCATCAATCACTTGCACATGACCTCCAACCGCCTCTTCAACAGCAGCTTTCATGTTCGTCATGCCGGCACACCCAAGCGTCAACACATCAGCACCATCTGCAACCAACCTCTTGCCCACGTCACACATGGTTCCAAGCACTTCCTCTTCAGGCTTCGATTCAAGTTCCAAAACCCCGATATCACAACTTCTCACACCAGCGCAGAACGACTCCATACCGTAGTGTTTCACAGAGTCCTCCAGCGTATACTGCGATCGTCGCGTTGTTGGGATGATGCCAAACCGTCCACCCAGCGTTCGTGCAGCGAACAGCGAGGCCTCCATAATACCAACTACCGGCTGCGAGAGCTCTTCACGAAGGACCTTTATGAGTGCGTGATCGCTGTAGCAAGCTATGAGGAATGCGTCGTACTGATGTGCAACGGGTATGATAGCTCGGGCGGCGACAGCTGCGGACATGATGTTGTCGAAGTTCGATTCGATAGCTGATGGCGATGGTTTGGGGGCTGTGAAGCCGTAAACGGTGACGTCGGGTGGGAGTGTTGGTTTGAGTGTTTCTAGACAGGCGTTTGTCATTGATTTGGTAGTGTTGGGGTTGCAGAGGAGGATGCGAATGTGCTTTGAAGATTTGGCGCCTGTGACGGAGGCCAGCGGCTTACGGTTCCCATCGCTCGCTGTAGCCTTGGGTTCATGATGCGCGTTTTCCGATTGTGCTAGTCGCGGCGGTTCGACAACTCCCGTTTGCGAAGTCAGAATACCATAATGCTCCGTCCGCCGATGTCTCGCAAAGTCAAACGTCCGCGTCTTGCCAGGCAGACATCGATCAAGGTCGCAATCGGCGACGATGATTTCATCCTCCTCCGTCTTGCTCTCAGCCATGATCTTTCCATCAGGCCCAATGATAGTCGAGCCTCCTACTAAATCGTACTTCCCGTCATCCAGCCCGCATCTCGCTGCGCTGACGGAGAAGCACGCATTGGTGTACGAGTGGGCCTGCATGACTAGCTTGTGATGGAAGATGGCCTCAGCACGTGCCTCCGCTGGACTCACATCGGGGGACGCACCCCACATCTGTGGAGCAAAACCTGGCGTGTTGAAGCCCACGAGAACAAGTTCGACGCCTTGAAGACCCAAGCATCTCCAAGCTTCTGCCCACCGTCGATCGTTGCATATTATCATGCCGAAGATGGGCTCGCCGTGTTCAGGTGTGGTCTCCACCAGGCCAGGTACTCGGAAGGCGTTGAACCCTGAATTACCCGGCTTAAAGTATCGCTTCTCAAGCTGGTTGACTGCATCGGGCTCGGGGAAAGGGTCAACATCTCCGGGTAAATGCACCTTTCGATACTTTGACAGAATAGACCCGGACTTGGCGTGATAGTAGACGCAGGAGTTGTAGTGGTCACCGTCATCTGTTGCCTCTGCGAATCCGATGCAGATGTCGACCTCCAACTCCTTAGCTCGTTCGAAGATAGGTCTTGTGTTTTCCGCTGTAGTCACATCGCCGTGCTCGAAGAACGACTCGAGTTCCGCTTCGTTGGTGATGAGATAACGAGGGAAGAAGGTGGTAAAAGTACATTCTGGGAATAGTACGACTTGTGCGCCTTGTTCAGCGGCTTGATTGAGCAGACGGACGAGTCGGTCAATTGTGTTTTCACGGATGTCAGTGCGATGGACTGCGCCAACCTGTGCAGCGGCTATGCGGATCGTGCGCGACATGCTGTTTCGACTGGCCTTGGCGGAGTATAGAAGCGTTCTGAGTGCGCACTGGCAACTCGAAAGGATAGTCGGTCACACATCTCGTCATTTCGAGGACCGCGAGTTGTTATGCGCGTCGATGAGCTTATCAAAGGTGGGATAGGGAGATAGTGATGAAGTTCCAGCGATAGAGGCGGCCAGTCGCGTGAGGCCAAGGCGGTCTTAGCGCCCCCCACACTTCGCGAGGTCAAGCCTTCCCCGCTGTCGACCTTGCACCTCACTCCTTGCATGTATCCTATCAACTTCAACATTCGAATTTGATGGCATCGCTTTCCCATCAATCATGCGCTCATGCAGCTTTGCTATACTTTATTTACTCACTTGCTCCTTCTAAGCCCGAATCTGACCAGAACAAGGCGGTGAAAGCTATACTTAGCTTTCCAAGGTTCCTTCCGCATGCCGAACTGCGACGTCACGTGAGCGCCAGGTACCACCACATCATTAATGGAAAGCACAATGATTTCCGCAAGCGATCTAGCCATCGAACCGTCGCCCACACGATCAAATCAATTCCTAGATGCGCATCTGGACCTGAGTTCGCAGGAATAGTAATCCATTACCACCGACGGTTAAGGCGTGCCTTGTGGGTAAAGCCCAGCCGTGACATCCAGCTTGGCATACCTCAAAGCCACACAACTCGCCCTGATCACAGCATTTCGGCCCCGATCCGTACAAGCCTTTGAAACGTCTGGCTGTGCATGCATCGCGTGTCGACCACAAACTTGGCGGCTGATTCCTGTGGTACTATTTTACGTTAATCGCAGGCTTAGCGTCAATATCGCATAGCCGCGACCGCGAATAACAACACATAATCAGGCGTCCTGTTGCACCACAGCGAAACAAACAAGGCTGAATACGATGTGACGTCAATTCGGCAGGGCGATGCAGAGCCGTCGGTGCAACACTGTGGTTGGCCTTACGATGTACAAAGACAACTTGAAGCCCTCGTTCTTCTACGTAATCATCACCACTCTTAGTACCAAACGACCTTGACAACCACATTCCAACCATGGCATCACGATCATCCCGCCTCAGCAGCGCCCTCATCTCAGCATCCCTCCTAACCACTTCAGCTCTTGCCCAGAACAGCAGCGAAATTCACCCCAGCTCCGACGTCAGCTGCCCCGACCTAAACCGTCTAGGCGACCACTACGAATACCCCGTAAACGGCAGCGGCACAGCAAACGTCTCCGACCTGCGCATCTCCGTCACATTCGGCGAGTTCCGCGATCCAGACAGGTGGAGCCGGACATTCGATGCCCAGCAAATGGTGTACCTCAGCGCTCCTCCCAACAGCCTCGACCAAACCTGCGTGTGGTTCTTTCACGGCGTCGATAATGTAAGACAAGGCGACGACGAAAGCGGCTGCGATGGCGTACTACCGCAAGAATGCCTTGACTACCTGGAAAGCGAATTAACGCTCCCGGACGACGCGCTAGAGCAAATGACCAACGGCACCAGCGGACGCGCTTCGTTCGTATGCCCGCCACCGCACTTGAACGAGACAGAGATGAAAGAGATTTGTGGATCGGGTTTCTCGAGTAGCATGGGCATGATCGGTACGTCGGGTTTTTAGCTCGAAGTTGCCTCTACTATGCGTTCGGTGCTTTACTAACCCGCCTTTGTGTACAGGAGGCACCCTCAACACAACAAACATGACCTGCACCGTCCCCCCAACCGGCGTCCAACTTCCATCCGACTACCACACAGCCCCACTCGTTGGCTACGGTCCCGCCGGTGTAGGCAATTCAAGCTACGATCACGAGTTGGACAATTTCACCATGTACGACGAGTATATTACTCGTCCCCATCCTGTTGTCGTCGCGTCCGTTGCGAACGGGAAGGCGAAGACGAGCGTGGTTTGCATCGCGCCCGATAATGTGCTTGAGGGGAGCCGTGTGCCTGCTGAGTCTGTTAATCAGCCTAGCGGTGATGGTGATGATGACGAGAGTGCTGCGGTGGGGTTGGCGCGGGGAAGAAGCACGGGTATGCTTGTGCTGGTGGCGGGGGTGGCGGGTATGTCTTTTGTGCTTGCGTAGGGGGATACATGGGGGGCATGATGAGTGGAAGTCCGTGTGTCATTAAGGTGATGGCGAGACGGGCTGAGTCTTCAGAGAGGCTTTTTGGAAGACTACTTTGGCTGATCGTGGACCAGTCGGCGCGTTGGGCGGCGGACTAGAAGTTAAAGACGGCCTCCCAAATACCGAGCCATCGTTGAGTCCGAGACCTGAGTTGTTGCCTGCCCACCTGCCGAAGCCAGATGATGGCAGCGGAGATACGCCAGAACCTTGCGCGGCGCCAGTGGCGGCCTCACCGGCGACGGATAAGCTGGTAGGGTCAACAAGCGACGAGAGCAGTGACGCGTCGATGTCTGTGTCTCCCGTCGCGTGAGCACTTTGACTGCTCATTCGATCGTGGTCTTGTAGTGATGTAATTGATACAGTCGCTTTGATCTGGCGTGGGATGGCTTGGGGTGAGTGAGCAGGAGATCGCGCGGCCTGAGGTGAGAGACGCAGTGCATCGCCATCGCCGTCGTCAGCGTGCACCTGCTTACCACTGGGAGATTGCCCCATCTGCAAAGCAATCGATATGCAAATATTGATGTGAGGACGCGAAAGTAGGAAGAAGCAGCAGCCTGCATCGCGGAGGCAGTGTTTGGAAATATACTCGTTTGCGCACTAACCCAATCGGGCGACTTCCTCTCTCACCCCGACCAACCCCACTAAGCAACCGCGCCGCTGAACCGACTCTGAGCCTTAATGGCTAGAATTCATGAGGCGTGTCTCGAGACCCCAAGTTCATCTCTGCCATGTCATGGTAGAGTTCATCTTGATCTTGCTCCTGCTCGTCCACATTCTCAGTATACACGACGCTCGCATTTTCTTCCTCTTCTTCCTCACCGTCCTCAGTATATCCAACACCCGCACCCTCTTCCGTTCTATCTCGCTGTTGACCGTCCCCCCGCCCATCCACATCCTCAACATGCACCACACCCAACCCACCTCCCTCCCCAGCCGTACCAACCGTACTCTCATGCCCCTCGTCCTCCACTCCTCCCGCATTCACCGGCGATACACCATATTCCGCGGGGTCCAACCATTTCTTAGTCCAAGCCGCCTTTTTGCGCATCCACTCCGCATCAATAATCACAAAGTGTAGATCAATCTCCACATTCGACTGCCCATCGAGATGAGCCATTAGCCAGGGACCTATCTCACCAGGATCAGCTGTGCCGAAGTCTTCAAGCAGCCGGGCAGATGCGTGTGCGGGAGAATAGCCCCAGCTTTGGTATAGCACCTCGGCTAGTTCCTTAAGAATCTGCTCTATTTCGTCGAGCTTCGTGTAGATGGGTTGGAGTTGAGCTTGTATGTCCCTCTTTTGACTTTCGAATTTTGCTGCGGACGCGCTGAGCTGGGACCGGTACACTAGGTCTACGCTGTCACGAACGCTGTAACCGCCAAACATAATGAGTTGATCGAGTTGGTCGAGGTAGGATCGTTCATCCGTGATACCAGCTGCTTGCATGAGATTTCGTAGGCGGACGCGGATATTATCTCTAGAGCTCGTTAATAGAGCATAGGGGTCGTGACTGAACCCGAGCCTGAGCCTGTTTATGTCTATTCTGAGGCCTTGCATCTTTGCGCGCATCGAAGCGGCGTTGCGGTATACGACGTTCAACCCGTTGATGGTTTCCTGATGCGTGAGAATCTCGAGGCATACAGCTCTGGCTCGGGCTAGGGGGTCGTACCGAACGAGTTCGGTCTTGCATAGTGGACATGATCGGCGAGCGGCCGTGGCAGTGACGTCTCCGTCTATCCAAGTGCAAATGCAGTCTTTGTGGAAGAAATGATTGCATTTCCAGATCTGTACGACGTTGCCAGGGGGAGTTTGCTCGGCCGTTGCTGCGGCGATCGCAGCAGCAAGGATTCTGTCTTGGGCCGTCATTCCATAGACGTGCTCATCCGATGGCTGCTCTTCTCCTTGGTCCTGATGGGCGAAATCGAGCCGACATATAGCGCAGTTTCCATCGGTGGGTGGATTGTCCACAGGTACCAGTTCATTCTTCACAAAGTCCTCGTAGTTGCCGTGGAATCCCCATGCCACGGGGGACGTCGTCATGAGGATGGCGTTGTTCGCTGGGGTTGATGTGGGGTTGTCCATTTGAAATAATAGCCATGAGAGTTTTGTATAACGGGAGGAAGTTCAGAAATCCATAAGGACTACATACCTGGGAGGATTTCTTACCGCGGTACCCAAGCTCTGGGAGTATGTTTTGCGATGACATCGAGTGATTAGCGAGCCACTCACGAACCCGCAGCGCAACATACCGCATCTCATCCGCGATGGTAGTCCCGAATAAGACGTCGCAAAGGTCAGAGATTGGCTCTGGTGACTGTACCATTCAGTCGAAAGACAGTGCACGGGCCACTGGTTCTGGAATTTGTTTTCCAAATCTCCCATCTCCGTTGGATGAGGGGCAGAATCACTGGGTGTCTTGTGGGAGGTAACCGATGTGCGCCGCGGTAGCGACAGCAGCTGTACCACGAGCGCGAGTCTGGGGTTAGCAAGATCCGCTCCACGAGGCATGCGAGAACGATCCGAGAACTCTGCCAACGCTTTCTGATACCCAGCAAGATCATCAAAGACTGTGATGCATCATCGTCCTTTGGAGTGATACCCTATCCTGCGCTGTACTCTTAGCTGGTCAATCTCACTTACAGCCCTCCCGCCAGCGGTAGCTATGCATCGCCGTCGCGAAACGTTCGTTGACGTTGCTTCTGCGCGCTGCACCATCCGGAAGAAATGCGGGCTCATTGCGACAACATATCGCGACGTGCGGCTATGTCGATCGTGAAGCGTGAAGATGGAGAAGGTTGACACGTCGTCCAACCGCGACGATCCTGCCTTGTTTTTCAGCCAATGCCCAGCCCCAGCCGCGTCTGGGCAGTCGCGAATCGCGTCACCGCTTTCTCCGCAAAACCTCGTACCTCAGCTCCTCAGCTCCTCCATCCCAACTGCTCTGCGCAGGAAGAAGCATCAATCGCATCTCGCATCTCTGTTCGCGAGGTTTGTTAAGCTCTCTCCTAAGCTTCCCGCCCATCACCTTACCGTGGGGAGCCAATCAAGAGCTGCACAGAGCTCCAGGGCCCTCGGCCAACCACAGCCCTCCTCACTCCCGAATACCCGGAATCCTCCCTCCAGGTACCGTCAGGATGTCGTCCGCCCGCCACGGCCACGACAACTCGCACAACGTCTCGCGCGTTCTATCCGACCACTTCAACAGCCGGTCAAACAATGATACCGAGTCTACACCTCTGCTGCACAACATCATCCCCTCGCACATCCACCCCGATGGCGAAAGCGGGCGCAAGGGCTTCCACCCCTCGCACTTCATCAACGTAGCATGGCGCTCTGGCAGCAATGCCGCAAAATACACGAACCTTCTTTGGCCCTTCGTCATTGTAGCTATCGTACTGCACTTTGCGGCACCGGGCATGCCGATTGCCATCTTTGCGACTAGCTACATTGCCATGGTGCCTGTGGCTAATCTGCTGGGCTTCGCGGGCCAAGAGTTTGCGAGGAAGATGCCAAAGGTGTCTGGTATCCTGATTGAGACTGCGTTTGGTTCGATTGTAGAGATCATCCTCTTCATCATCTTGATTGCCAAGCACCATTCTCTGGATGGGTCGAGTGAACATGGAAACCTCATTCCGGTTATTCAGGCTGCGATTTTGGGGTCCATCATCACCAACTTGCTGCTTTGCCTTGGACTGTAAGTATTATGGAATGATGACTTGTGGTACATATACTGATTACATCTCTAGTTGTTTCTTCGTAGGCGGCCTCCGCCAGATGTCGCAAAAATTCCACGCCTCCATCAGCGAAGTCGGGTCTGGACTCCTCCTCGTGGCCGGTTTCGGTCTACTCATCCCATCAGCCTACTACTCCGCGCTCAAAGGCTCCGCCGTCGCAAAAGCGTCCAAGCACCACGAGTTCACCGAGAAGATCCTGCAGCACAACGTCTTGAGAATTAGTCAGGTGACGTCGATCCTCCTCATCATCGCTTTCTGCATCTTCATCTGGTACAACGCGCGCTCCCAGCACTCCCTCTTCGATGAAGTTCTTGAGGCGGACGAGCACGCTGATCTGGATCACCATGAAGATCTTGCGAAGCCCAAGTTTACGTTTACGGAGTGCGTCGTCGCGCTCATCCTCTCTCTGGCTATCGTAACGCTTCTCGCCGTCTTCCTCGTCGAGCGCATCGAAGACGTAGTCGAGAATGGCGTGCCAGACCAGTTCCTCGGTCTCATCATGCTGCCGCTCGTTGAGAAAGCCGCCGAGCACCTCACCGCCATTGATGAGGCATGGGATGGCCAGATCAACTTCGCGCTCTTCCACTGCATTGGCCCAAGCATCCAAACCGCACTGTTCAACGCCCCGCTTGTGGTTCTTGTCGGATGGGCAATGGGCAAGGATATGGATCTCAACTTTGAGATCTTCATGATAGTGCTGTTGGTGTTGGCTATCGTTGTTGTTGGCAACTTTTTGAGGGACGGAGAGTCGAACTATCTGGAGGGTGCGATGCTTATCGTAAGTTATGATTCATTGTCGTTGACAAGTGAGTGGCTTTGCTAACAATTCGAAACAGATCGTCTACGTCATCGTAGCCGTAGCTGCGTGGTACTATCCCAACCCCGATGTCGCTACTTCGAACGGTGCAGAGTAACGAGAAACGGTACGAGAAGAGATGGAGGGGTGGCGACTGCGGCAGTTGATACAGCGGACCGGTGGTCTATTCATGCTGAGGCATTCTGGATCACCGGGCTTGCAAGGTAGCTGGGGTTACTTTTTCTTGCTAGAAACTGTTATGTAACCAAAAAGTGGCTTTGAAGAAAGTCATTTATTGGTTCCATAACAGTTTCTAATAGGAAAAAGTAACCCCAGCTGCCTTGTGAGCGATGCCTTGGTCAATTACCGCGGCGTTGGGGCGTGGATGGGATGCAAGGAGGAGCACGCGATTATGGATTGCCACATGATC